ACATTATTTACTTAAATATATAGGTAGATAAAATATTTGATATGAAATATTTATTTATTTGTCGCATCTATCCTACACGGTCATTAGCAACAGCTTTTATTTACACTCTGTTATAGAATTTTATTATTTATAAAATTTAAAATTTGTTTTTCACCTCTATTTTCCTGTCGTTCCAGTTTTCTTTTTGGCTTTCTGTCATATCCATTTTGATAGTGCTAAAAATGCTTTGGAAAAAAAGACAAAGCTACGTAGTAAAGACGATCATATAAATGTAGAAATATATAGTGATGTTTAAGTTTTTATGAAATTGATGTAAATTATTTATTAGGCTACCTACCTATATTATGTTTGATTTATTATTATATAATCTACATTGGAATAAAGAGCGTCAGGTGTTTACAATAGAACGGAAATTCATTAGTGATAGAAGTTTTAGAGAAAAAAAAACAAAAGAATTGGGGATTCGGAGAAAAAGAAAAGAAATAGTGCCACATTGATAGATTTTACTTTAAATTATATCTTATTATATGCTTTATTTCATTGAGCTTCTAATTTATTAAATATATTGTATAGGAAGGGTTAATCGAAGTTTACATTTATGGGTCTTTATATGGTTTAATCTGGCCCTTGTAATAATTATGCATGGGAAACCTGGAGTTCGACAAAAACGTTCAAGGTTAAAACTGCGGCTCAGAATCAGCTGATGCCAAGGTCTGGACGTGAATGAAAGGCCGTTCCAGTTCTTCCTATTTCGGAGCTGTTACTTTTTTATTTCTAGAAGTTTTTTCTCACAGTTACTAGGAAGACTTGCAAAATCTGTTCACTATGCTAAGACCATCACGTTTTTTCTTTCCATAATAATATGGAACGTAATGGTTTCCACTACTTTATTAGAATATTATTAAAAATGTATCTTGTAAGTTATTGCTGAATAAGTTACTGTTATTTTTCATTTAATAAAAAAAAGGTTATTTAGATAACTATTTCCAACTGTGTATATTTGATATATATTTGGAATATTCCATATATTTACAAATTAGTTAATTAATCCGATTTTTTTCTCATAAAATGGAATACGTACGTAAAAAAAAATCTGGTGAGGGCAACACACAACTTTCACTTACCACTCAACTTTGAATAGAAATTATTTTTGGTCATATCGGGCTATTATAAAATTTTTGGATTGCATTTCTAACTGAGCTGAAGCTAAAAAATTACAGCTAACAAATCCTAAATACCATGTATTGCACGATCAATTGATTATGGATTGTAATAAAATTATTAAACTACAGTAAATATATTTACGGTTATAAACATATGCATGAAATGATTTTATATTTTATTTCTTTCACACAAGTACAATGAAATAGTTATTTAAACAATGCCATTACCTTTATAAAGTGAATTTTAAATATTCCTTTCAAACTTAAAAATATTTGAAAAGGTTGCATTTAGTTAGTAAATTTCATTTAATTTCCATGGAAACATGTGATTTAAGTTAAATATTATTAGTTTTCAAAAAGTATTATTTATAATTTTTTTTGCCAATCTCTGCTTCCTTTTACAACTTTCTATATTCGATATTGTTTTTTCTGAAATTCTCCGCTTTCCAACGATATATTATACGTATATCTTTGGACTGGTATTTCCAGAGATTCATTTTCGACCCGGATAAGCATTTTTATTTTTTTCTCCTTTATTGAGTTATAAAATTCTTTCAAAAGTTATATTTAGCTTTTTTTCTTAACTTCTAATAATGAGAGGTAATTGATTATTTAAAATAAACCATATTAAAGGTACTTTAGAGAAAGACGCATATGAACATTGGGCATTTAAGCCCTGTAAAGTGAAATCAACGGGGATAAGACCTAAATGATATTAAAGACCGCTTAATTATACAATGATACGCCGAGTTTAATTAAAATCGTTAGAGCCGTTTTTGAGAAAATTGTAAAAATGTTTTTCAGCGTTCATATTAAGTGGCACTTCCGGTTAGCCGATTTCAACGAAAAAGTTGCTGTCACATCCGGCGCATATACAAACCTTAAATACTTAATATCAGTTTCGTACTATTTTCGTTTATGAGCTAGACTGTTAACCCAAACACACAGACACACACAGAGACCATTTTGCGACACTTGGTTATTTGGACTCAGGGGACCTCAAAACACGTATTTCCGTTGAAAACTGAGATTCGAAAATTTTCACGATCGCAATACTTACACTTACTATATATTTCATATATACGTAAGTGAAAGTAAAAAGGGGTGGGTCAAAAGTTCCCATCCAAGGCTCAATAATTTATTGCGAGTGACCAATGAGGTATGGGGCCTTGCCTTGTCTTGATGGAACACAATACCCTTCCGATTTGCCAGTTCTAAGCGGTTATTTTTAATTGATTGATCTCATTTTGTTAATTGTGAGCGGTAAAGAGTTGAATCAATTGTTTGTCCTGATGGCAATAGTTCATAGAAAATAACATCCTTAAAATCCCACAATATGGAAATTTCCTGAATGAAATTTGCCAAACCAATTTTGATAGGTGCGTTCGGTTAAGGCATCGTCTCCATAAACACTGCAAATGTCTCTGTGAGCTTCTTCATTACGCTTACCTTTTTTAAAATAATCCAACAAAATATGCCGATAATGAATGATATTTTCTTCCGTATTCACAGTGCAATAGCGAAATCAATACTAAGCTAGTTTCAGCAAGAGTTAACCAATATAATTGTTGATATATTACAAACAGGATAAACAATCCACCTTAGGGATTAATTCATCAGATAAGAAGTGTATCATAGTGACATAATAATAAACACAAAAACCGAAAGGAATTATTTGCCAACCCAATATATATATATATATATATATATATATTGTTTTTTCAAATACATATATTGACCTTCACCCAATTTTACTAAGGAAAACAACTTTAAAATTATATTCGTACCTCAGGGTCGCTTTCTCTGACTTAAGAAATTCATGTGAGTTTAAAAAAACATCAAGTTCCAAATCTGTGCGTTTGTTGATTTTTATTGAAAGCATATTTTGTCCTTTGTGATGCATACTCTATTTTTTTTATTAGTGTTGCCAAAAAAAAAGCTTTTAAATACACAATGTTTTTAAATAAAATACACTTGTATTTGTATTTTCTTTTTTTTTGTTTGTGTTTGAGGAAATAAGAATGGTTATATAAACTATGTAAAATATATTGTTGGAAAGCCGAGGATTTTAAAAAAAATTAATGGAGAGTGCCAAAAAAAATGTAATTAGTTCGTGGTACAGACCCCTTTTTATCAAATTATAAACATCCGCCTAAAACTTCGTAAATAGCTTCATCTCACCGTTGCCTACAAATATTTTATTAACGAAAATTCTCAGAATTGGGGCTTTTTCAATTGGGGGGGGATAAAATTTGTATATTTAATTAGATACTAATAATTCGTAATTACACATTTGATTTACACCTGAATCTTAAGATAATTTGAGAACAAAATCAAGTAAAAAGGTGACCTTAAAAAATATTGAGCCGTTTGGCGTGACCTACACTCCCGAATTTTCAAAATAACGAGATTATATAGGCTAGCCGGCTCAATATTTTTGCTAGTGGAAAGCAAATAGGTATTTACAAGTTTTTAGTAGCTAATTAAATAGACAATGTTTGCCCCCCTCCAGATTGAAAACGCCCCAATTTCAAGAATTTGCGTAAATAAAATAGTTGTAGGTTACGATGGGATGTAGCTATTTACGTAATTTCAGCCGGATGTTAATAACTTGATAAAAAAGGGTCTGTACCACGGACTAAATGACTAATTATGTCACTTCTATATTATTGAGTGGAAAATTAATATCTCTTTGGTAACCAAATTAAATTTCTGTCGAAACTTTTAAAATGTTAGTCAAACAAGAGGAAGCAAAAATACCGAATACCGAATCGCATAGAAAGCAGTTTTATGACATAGAAGAATGTACATTATTTATTTTATTTGAACTTACTTGGCGGATTTTTTTTTTTTTTTTATTAGAACCTGTTCCTTGCAATGTCTTCTTAAAATGTGTTATCCAAAAAAAAGCTCTTTTTTTACATATTTTCTCTAAGTAGTGTAGGATAAGTGAAAAGGTTATGGTGTAGAATATCTTAAATCAATCTTTAGAAAAATTATCCATAAACAGTGATCCAAAAAAAAAGATTATTGTCCTAAAATCTTTTATAACGGCGATGTGATTGAAGAATATATATAAGGCTTTTCTATCAACATAAAGATTTTATCAAAATATATAAGTTTGCTTTTTCATCGGTGAGAAATATATTTTATCATAAATCTAAATCATTGCCAATCACGTTTTTCTTATGAAGAATTTATTAAAATATATAATTTAAATAATTTTATCTTGCATCAATGAGGTTTGGTTGATCAGCAAAAATATCTTGCTTGTATTTGTTTCATTGTTTATTAACAAACATTCAATTAATATCATAATGAATCATATGGTGAAAAATGTAGAACAGCTACTTTTAGCAAAGTCATATTATTAAATAATTACAAAATTAAATAACAATAAATGCAGTATAAATTTCATGTAGTTTATCTGACGTAGAGATTTAAGATTAAAATTAATTGAATTACTAGATTATTTCTTTAAGGTTATAAAAAAATAATAACCATCTTTCAACATAAATAAATTGCCACGTGTTTAAATTTGTAGGGTTGGATGATTTATGCCATTACTGTCCATCTTGGCTTATAATTCTTCTCAGAACGTGGATATGGCAGAACAAAAAGTAAAAATATAACCATCATCAGTATATAACATCAGTAAATTTTATGTGATTGACTTTTGTATTATTATATAATTTGGTCATTATAAATATAAATAAATGTAGTCATAAGATAATTAATACGATTTATTAAACCTAAAACAGAATCCTTGTTGTTAGCATTTCTTCAATCAATTAATGGCGTCCTTCCATCTGCACCTCATCATTTTTTATCACTCTATCACTTTATCACTTTATAAAGTACGAATCCTCCAGCGTATACTGATAACCATAACTTGGCCCACTGAAAAAAAAAACAAAAAAAAAAAAAAAAAAAACAGTGGTCTACCAAGTGAAAGAATTATTTTATTTGAAATGATAAGTGAGGAGACTCACATTGGACCTTCCCCTGATGGTGTAGCTGTTGAAATACTTCTGAAATCCTCGGTACTTTGGGTCATCGAAAGGTTCCTCTATAGACATCTTAATAATTTTTCTCAATGCTACCCACTGACTCTCGAAGAACTACTGGTTCATTTTAAGGTCTCTTTTTCGTTTAGCATACGCTAAATGTTCGTACTTGACTCAGATAAAAATATCAGTTTCAGCCTTGCTTGGTCGAGATAGCTGCTAAGTCACCTACTTAATGACGTTAACTACTCAGGAATACAAGGGTGACTTGATTTCATTTTTGTTGATTCGGTTGTTTGTGTAATCATTCTAATACATAATCTTAGCATTTAAAAATGAAGAAAAAATAAATTTATGACCAAAACTTATGTCGATACATTAAACTCTTCCAATTGATATATTTTTGTTGTTTTCTTTTGCAATATATTAATTTTTAAATTTTAAACATGTGATAAATATACCATGGCAAATATGGTTAGCTATGAATTTTTCGGTAAGAATTGGGATTGATAACGGTACATTTTAAAGCTTTAAAATGCAAGTTCGTTTGGAACTATGCTTAATCTTATGTCCCGTGTCGAAATATTTATTACAAAATTTATTTCGTTTCTTTTTATTAGTTTAATAAATTTATAAGAAAAATAAATATATTACCCAGTAATATGGGTTTCAATTACTTGCAATTTTTTCAAGAGCTTCTATTAAAATTATAGGAATTTGGGATTTGTCACTTCTCTATGAAATTCTCTTGCATTTGGTTTGGTTAGGTTAGGTTAGGTTACGAGTTGTTTTAGATATCAACAATTTGGTTATTAGGCCGTTCAGCTATGGTGTTATTTATATATCTTCACGAATGTATAAATTCACAATTATATTTGGAGGTTACTACAATGCTATACACACATATATATGCAGTTATATTCAATAGATATTTTAATAAGTGATACGTTCTGTAGATAATTTATTATTTATTTTCATTTTTATATTTTATGATACAATTGAGTTTCTTTTAAAAGCTTTATGATATATTATATTAAATCTATTCAGTCTTTTAATGCTAGTTCTCTACAACGTTGTATTTTTTTTTTTTTTTTTTTTGTAATATACAATCTTCTGTTAAACGGTGTGTGGTTAGCGCATGCGGATACTGGCAGGTATCGCAATATGGTGGGGCCTATTTTGTGATTAAATGAACATGAGTCAGATTACTACCAGTACACACAGTCAGATAAATACCAGCACTTACCCACTGATTGTGTATTTGGTATTTACGTGGTGTTGTTAAAGAGTTTTATACTCTTTTTAATATTTCTTATTTTATTTTTTTATTTAAATAAATAGACTCTTGTGTTTAGTATCGTTCCTCATTCATTAAATTTCGTTGCCCTTGGGAGCCGGAAAAGGGGTATATAGCTACTGTGTTATATCTGTGATCAACTGTGAAAATCGTGTGAAGTGCAATTTTGTGAATTTTTATGGATATCACTATAATAAAAAATCTTGTCTCTTTGTTTATGACTAATGGGGCAATAACAGAGATGGACATTCCTTTGTGAATCATGGATTGAAAATCGAAAATTGAACTTGTACTAGCGAAAATTCCATTTCAATTGCGGTTTTTCGACATAACACACTATGTACTGAAGCCACAAATACATATTGTAGATTGATTTATTCATTTTTTTTTTTTTCATTTTCTCCGAAATTCCCAACATTTCTTTCGCTTTGTTAATCATAATCATTATGAACTAACGCTCACTTATTTAGATACATACTGAATAATTTATTTACTTTTGTATTTAACCTAATGATATTGACAAATGTTTTAACAAATTCAGTAAAAAGATAGAGGGCCATGAAAATAGACAACAAATTCAAAACGTTTATCTGTAATTACATTAGTCTATATAGCTAGTTAATAATCGTTAGCAATCTATTAAAAAATCGTCACTTTTTTTTTTTAATTTGGATTAAAAACATCTAAAGATGATGTCACTAGTAGTACAGATGAATTTTCATGAAAACAGGTTAATTCATTGATATAATTACAAATAGAATAAAAAAAAAAAACTATCCGGTACGCGGGAACTTTATATTCGGTCAAAAAAAAAAGAAATAATGGAATTCGTGGTTTATGACATCGCTAAACATCCTTAAATCATCACAACACATCTTCAAAACCATAATTCTACGTCTTGAAGTGATCTTGATCGACAGATATTACACTGTATCGGGTTTCCTTACTTAGATTTTTATTTAAATGATTGGCAACGTATTCAACGTTATATACTTCTCCTAAAAAAAAAAAAAAAAAAAAGAAAAATCAAATCAAATACTTATCTTATTCGGTAAATAAAATTCCATCTCGATCTTCACTCTTGAACTACTATACGAACAATCACTTATCGTTGAGTAAATATTAAAATAAAAAAATCCGTGTTCTCCTTAAAGTCATTTTGACATTCCTGACAATCTTCGCTCTGGTGTTATTAAAGTATATTGATTAAGTATCTTTTCAGAAGAGTATGAAGTCGATAATACTTTAGGATACATTAAGGGTAAATAAAATGCAATTGCGTTATTTCTTTTTCCGTCTCCTACCATAGTAATCCTATATTTTGGAGTTTTATTATAATTTTTATAGATTCCATGCTGCTAAATAATATATTGCTTTTATTACCATTGGCGCTAGGCGATAATTACCCTGGTGGTTGGCGCCTTTGTAAAAAAACTAGTTTCCTTCCTACGAAATTATCTATAGAGAAAGTCTATATTTATCGTTTCAGGGTAAAACCTACGGGAGAAGCTTGTCTTGTCAAGGAAAAACGTACAAACCAAAAGAAGTGAACGAAAATTGATAAAAGCTATATTACACCTTACAGTTATCAACTCTCACATTACCTGAAAATTTTATCAAATCAAATTAACGGCAGTAAGTATTATAACGTTTGAAAACAAAATTGAACAATAGTGTAAATATATTCTACCTTACCATAATTTCACTTCATGGCACATTTAACTGTCATTATATTCTAATTAATTAGGTATATTGTTTTTAATATTTAATTAAATAGTATTTAATTAACTTTAATTTAATAGGTTAATTGATATTTGATGGAATTACCATAGGCCATTTGTATACTACTTCTCAAATTTCCTTCACTTTTAGTCAAATCGATTTAGGTGATTTTCTAGGTGGATCTAGAAGAATTTCTTTGCGCAACCTTATTTCATGAAAGTAGAAGATACAAGATAAGACACCTAATTAATCAAACGAGTTTAATACTTAGATTTAATCGATACAACGGGTTTAATCAAAATCGTTGGAGCCGTTGTCGAGAAATTTATAAAAATATGTAAATTCGATGACATATTGTGACAAATTTGCCGATTTTGACGAAAAAGTTGCTGTAACATCTTAAGCGTATGCCTAGCTCGTTTACGTAATAGTAGTTCTGAAGGATTTTTCGTTTTTGAGCTAGACTGTTGATACATAAACGAATTTGTAGGCCTTGGGTATTTCGACATCGGTTAGTGGATCTTCAAAAGTGTATTTCGGTTGAAAATTCCGTTTCGAAACTTTTTACGATCGCAATATTTTCCTCATATGTTAATTATATGTATCACTGTATATTACGTATACATAGGTAAGTGAAAGTAATGAAGTAAGTGGTTTGGAAATAAATTTTAACATGATCACTCGGCTAAGGAATACTCCATATTTTTAGCTGGTAATTCACTTTTATTATAGAATTTATTCGTGACAGATGAATATACCATTATAGAATATGTGCATAAGTCCCAAGGAAAATACTTATTCATATAAGGTGCAATAATAAAGTTAAGTAATTTTTTTTTGTATCCTCTCCTTTCTCGCATTTAAGATTATACGGGGTTTTCTCGGGCCACGGAGTGAGGGCGAGGATTTAAAAGACTTCCCGGCACCGGAAAACATAAATTAACATGAAAAAATTTATAAGAATAAAGTTATATATTAATAAAGTTAAGTAACAGTTTACTCTCCCAAAAACAAATCCTTCCTCATTTTTATGACGTTAAGGGATCATCTTATTATCCCATCTTCAGACCGTATCTGATCCCTCCATCATCCTCCAATTATACTGCGGACTCCTCCAGTTACATATATTAATTATATATAATGAACTATATATTCCACATAGTGAACATAGAAATTCACATATCTATCTGAATTTATAGTTTAAATTTGTCTACTTCTTTCATTTTATATAATACTACTCAGGGAACACATTATATTTTAAGCAAAAAAACCTCAATGTACTTAAATATAAGTTATGAAATACTAATCATTTAATAGTCATGATACGTAATCGTTATTATTTAAAGCAATCAATCATCATGAGAGTTCACGTGTCGTTGAGGAATTTGACCATTTTTTCCTTTGTTTTCATTAGAAAAATAAGAGTGTTCAAATATAAGGATAATAAACAGAAATATGTTTGCGTATTATCAACCTATCTGTAGCTATTCCCTACGGTTCAGATAAAGCATAGATCGCTTTATAGATAATATCGTAATTACTGTTGAAACCCTCCAAACATTGTAATGTTAAGAGCCATTTTACCACTTAAAATTTTCTCCTTAGAAGGGTGACCATTTCCACCATTTGGTTTTTTATTTTCCCTTTTAATTACACGATCACCCTGCTACGTCAGTAACAAAATATTACATCCAGAATTATAAATATCCATGGTATAAGACCAAATTCACAATCTTCACTGACATACCAACAAAGTTATAGAAAACGTGGCCGCAACACATATGCCAGAAAACGTCCGGTAAAGGCTGAAAAGGTGGTGGTTAGGAGATCTCCTGGTTCAGTTTTCTTTTTCAAGTTAGGAACAGGTGCCTATGGGTACCAACCTCCCTTATGCCTGATAAGCTAGTTCGATCCATGATTATATCCGCTTATTGCCACAGGCTGTCACTAGTGTGAATATAAAAAAAAGTTTTAAAAAAATTCCTTTTGATAAAGAGGAAAAAAAGTCCCATTTTCTCTTTTTTTGTCCCTCGGAATGAACTTCCAAATATTGTATATACAAATAATACATACTTTTATATGTAACTAGTCGTTTTATTGCTATTTTACTTATATTACTTAAAAAATATATCAAACAGTATTCAAATTATGCTTTCATTGATAATTTGTTTTCACTTTTTTTTTTCTCTCAACCTTGGAATTTCCCTAAAAAGGGAACATTTTCACCAAAGTGGAAACGCTGCCGACAACACAATTACGGTGTAAATTCCGCCACCTGCGCCACCTATTGAGTCAAATTGCCATTTCCATGATAATGGTTCTAATTCAATCCACCTCCTGTTAGTGCGCGGGTGTAGGCATTTCAGTTCTAGATAAGAGGTCTTCTGTTCTAATGAAATACGAACTTGGACAATTCTTTTACATTATCTTGTTAGTTATATGGTAGTATATATTTATATAAAGATACAAACATAGTAGTACATAAATGTTATTATCCAAAATCCACTAAGGATCTCAGAACTATTTCGTTTTGTTTACCTTTTTGATAGAATTTATGTTTTAAAGTTATCTATATTATGTACTTATTTACAACAATAAGGACTTCTCAAACACCTTGGACCATTTTAGTCCTTAAACAATATTAATTACACAGTACAAAATTCGACAACAACTTGAAGGTAGTAAAGATTAAACATAAAAATTTTCAAAAATTGAAAAGTACAAAAATAAATAAATTTTGTTAAATAGTTGTGTTTTTTTTTTTCTAAGAAACAAAAAAAACTTCTTTCGTAGACTATAATAAGTAGCAATCTTTTAATTTTAAAATTCTAAACGGGTATTATTATTTCATTGCAACTGTGCCATCTAGGAGGCTTCCGAAATGAATTCTGATTTATCTCGAAAACGGTACATTTTTGGACTTAAAAATGGAGGGTCCCGCAAATTCGAAATCTTAAAAAAACAATTTGTGCTCTCTTCATCCATCGGCTTACTAATGTCGTCACTTCATGGTCTTTCCTATTGTTTGATACCTCATGCATCAAAATCCAAAATCATAGTTCACTCCTGAAAGTCAGAAAAGAAGGGATCTGTACTACGGTGTTATGTATATTGAAAATTTCAAAGGCGAACCGTCCGTGAGTCACCTTACATAATTACTCGAAATGCTTTACTATATATTGCATAACTTATTATAAATTTCCTTAAATATAAAAAAACTGTCAGATAATCAATTAAATGCTGTGCATTACAACACTAATCTTCACAAAAAAAAATGCTGCAAGTGCAGTTGACAATAAAAATGGAAATATTATACAAATTCTTGTAATCACGGGATAATACTAATTTCAGGAAATTAAAAAGCTCGTGGATCGTTATAAAATGATTATTTACTATCGGTCAAATGATTTTAGTATATTAATTCTAAATAAAATCTATCTTTTACTATCCTAACCACAAGGAGAGTAAATTTGTTTAACACGGTCGCTTGTTAGTTAGTTACGGAATGGAATTAATCCGTAACAAATAACAATAATAATAATATTAATTCAACTTTTATTTTATTTAATATGCCAATTGGTGAATCATGCATTGACCTTTCTCATGACTTTTATCAAAGGATAAAAGAACAAAGCATCCCTAGATAGCCAGGTCAAGCTGTCCCTGATAGCTTAGAAATAGTTATCTAGAGTGTACCGACTGAACAGAAGACCCACTATCCAGACTTACGGAACAATAATCGATTTCAGCAAAAGGGCACTTTCTCACAGACCTCTTCTTAAGAAAATTAACTATCGGTAACTTCCTTTGCCGTCCTCTTCCGACTTCCCTTCACCCTCCCTCCCCCTATTCTTGGGTACATAAACCCCATGCTCCTAAGAACAAATCACTCATGCAGTTACATTCTTGAAGTCACACTCTTCACTGTAGGAGACCAGGAGTGAACTCCTGTAGTCAACCCATATATCCATAATATATTACTCTGTATGTTAGATGCCATGTGTAACAGATATAATGAATAAAATCATTATTTATAAAGTCTTCACTGCCTCCGATTCGTTAACTGTTGTTTAACGATTCTTTGACCGAAAGTCTCAACGTATTTTCAAGAATTTAACTAACTTAAACATATCATGTCTATTTCTCGAAACTCCAAAGTTAATGACCAGTTTCATAGAACAATTTCAAATAGTTATCTATAAGCAATGACGACAAGTAGTACATTGTAACATATTTATGAATTATAGCTAAGTAAAAGCTTTTTTTTTTTTAATGATATAAAGAAAGTTAATGTACGTTCAAAAAAGTGGCAATTTACCTAAAGGAAATGTTTTATCCTTAAGGTAAGAATTTTCATAATAAAATTGAACAAGACAATTTAAAGAAAATAATTCTTACAGTAAACTATTGTATGATGCTGCATGAATATTATATGCTGTTTGACTGTGGCAAAGAAATTTGCCTTTTAATTACTCTATTCGGCGGTAAGACACCATGACAAAGACTCTGGGAAACCAGAGCCATCACGCATACTGACATATAAAAAATATTTATGAACTGAACTATGAATGTTTGCTTCTTAATGGGGACCGTACCTCTGGATGTCTCCACTTAGTTTTTAAAGGCTGCCAGTGATGTAACAAGAAGTACTGCGGACTGGGACTAAGGGTCCTAACCGTAGTCATTCCTTTTTCTCTACTTCAACGTTCCGTTTTAGCATCTTCGTGCCTAGCGACGTCGGTTCGATTCCGGCCTGGAAGGGGTTGACTTTTATTTCGTGGTGGACCCACGGAATGGAACTTGGCCTTCCCATTCTGGTCAGAAGAGGTTCGATTGTACCTCTAGATACCAAGGACCTATATGGTGAACAAAATATTGTGTGAGTCATTCAATTCAACCATGTGAGACGATAAAATAATTTGGAGTTCGCGTTCCAGTAAAGAAGGGGAGAGGGAATGTCAGCGGCTTTTAACTCTGGCATTACTTCCCATCCCTCACTGCTGGCCTGGGAAAACCCCGTATAGCCTAAAAGGCGAGAAAAGGAGGGGAAAAAAAGGTTGCAGCATGTGGAGAAGCTGGACGCTATAAGAAAGCCAGAAAACTACTGTATGAAAAGCTAGGGGGTGGAAGAAGGCGGGAAAAGCCTCGGCTCTGATGGTTGGAGGAGGTGGAAGACATGGATAGATAAGGGTATGAACCGGTGGAGACGTATCTCAGCTGACATGGACGTGTGAAAGAAGATATTACCAGAGGCCAAGATTCTTCAGGGACTCTAGAGCCAAGCAATGAATTAATAAATCAATACTATCTTATATTTATGTATTTTTTATATTTTAGTTTGATATCATGGAAATGTTTGCAAATCATTAGCTACCAACTTAAAGTCTGTGATATTGTCCCAGCTCTTATTTTAATTTAAGGCAATTAGCCAATCGTTTTCTGGAAAAATCAGCACTCTAGAAAGGTCTGAAGCGTCACTGGCTGGATAAGATCGAATCCAATTTCGTGATTTTTTTTTTTTATTTCGTCCTTCTCACTCTAGGATATTCTTTATCTCATCTCTTGGTCGAGATACAAGTTAATCTTGACCTGTTTCGTGTTAATTATATAGTTATCGAGACACACCAGTGACTAATCAAAAACACTCCAAATCTCAATTAATTAACCTTTCGAAAATACAAACTCATAATCAATAATCATATAGATAATTTTTTTTTTTTATATTACAGGTATTTGCTACGCTGAGTTTGCTGCCAGGGTTCCTAAAGCAGGTTCAGCCTACGTATACAGCTACGTCACTGTAGGAGAGCTGGCTGCTTTCGTCATAGGATGGAACCTTATCCTGGAGTACGTTATAGGTAAGTGCTATTGATAGTAAATACCTGTGCCTTGCTAAGCTTGGCATTATCAACACAATTACCTGTAATGAAAGGTCAACAATATCATGGGATTAGCACCCATCTTGTGCGTGTTAAATTCCTTATCATTTAAATGCAGCCGGAAACATTTCATTCCGAATGGAATTCAACTGCAATTACCTAAAGCCCGTTTTTTTTTTATTAGCGTTCTGAAAAATATTTAAAAAAATTGTTGACTTGCTGGAAAATTATAAATTCATGCGCTTTCTTCCTGTTTTTAAAGTTAGAGTGTTGAAATGCTCTATGTAAATTAAATTGAAAATGAAGAAGTGTCTCGGTCTAGAAGGTCTAAATTTCTTTACTCCATCTATGTCATGATTATGGCATCACATGACTAAAACATTCTTATATTTTTCACAATATCAACCTTCTTTCGTCTGGTTATATTGTTAAATACGTAAATCGGGCTATGATTAAAGAAGATCAGGGATGCATAGAGTAAATTTTAGGGCTTTAATAAATAAAATGTTAAATGATTCCCATATAACTCTCCTAAACATGAGTGCAACGATCGTACATACATATCCTCTCCCAGCACCTCCATTAATTTACAATCTGCCTCCTAAAGCCGGTCGTCTGCTAGATCCACTAAAGTCAGATCGCAGAGGAGGCGTGGTCATATTCTGTGCTCAAATAAATTTATTACTTTATATGAAAAGCGCAACGCTTCTTCGCACCAAGCTAGTTGGCGAAGACCTAGATCACAATAATAAAGATTCTTCATTATTTCTAGAACTAATAATTCTTAGTACTTTTCTATTTAAAAATTAAATAAATTGGTTATTCCCAATTGGTCGTTTTAAATAATAAACCATATTCGGTTGTTCTAGCAGGTGAAATATAGATTCTAAGCAAAAACTATTTTTTCGTAACAAATAAATTTTGTCAGACAACCATTATTCGGCGAACCGCAGGTAACCTTGTGGACGATTACCTAAATTAAGCCGACAGTAATTTACTTTATTTTTTCACAAATTATAATGAACAAATAACGAATAATTGCTTAAAATACAATATCTTACTTCTCATAACTATACATTAACTTTGTTGAAACTTTAAATAGTGCAGTTTATCGGCTGGTATTTTATCGGCGTGTTCGCGCTCTAACAAATTAATTATTTATTAGACATAGGACGGTAATTATCAAGGAGTGGTGACATTTGAATGAAGTTATATTTTCAGATACAAAAGATTTTGTAAAAATTGCATTTTCAAGTCAATTTCAACCTTTTCCAAATCAAATTCAATCTTTTCCAAGTCAACTTCTGTTCCAACACGGTTGCATATCCATCTGTTTTTACTTTTTAGATTTTTTCGGTATAATATTTTCATATCATATTCAGTTTTTTCCAAGTCAGATTGAACCTTTTCCAATTCAAATTCAAGCTTTTCCAAATAAAATTAAACTTTTTCCAAGTCAAATTCAACCTTTTCCATTTCAAATTAAACCTTTTCCAATTAAAATTCATACTTTTCTATTTCAAATTAAAGTTTCATTTGTTGTAAATTTTTTATTTTTTTTTTCGAAATAAGGGCCATTTTCTAAAATGAGGATCTATTATTATGATCCCCTAAGTAGAGTTTTTCAAAATACTATAGGTTTTATGTTAAACTTTTAGGATAATATCGATTTATGGTACCTATTTGGAGTTATTCGATATAAGGGTCTAGTAATATGTTGTCGTGTGCATTTTAAGATTACGCCACTGCGTTTTGGCTTATTTAAGTTTTTCGGATCTATTCGATATAAGGGAGTATTCTTATGTTTCCAGAGCCGTAAATTTTGAAAATAACCTCTATTTAAAGCCGCTGCGTTTCGACTTTCATATTTTTTTTCTAATTTATTCGATGTAAGAGTCTACTTAAATGTTATCGGAGACGTAGTTTTTGAAAATGACCTCCATTTTAAGATTATACCACTTTGTTTTGGTTTATTTAAGTTTTTTGGACTTATTCGGTATAAGGATCTACTTATGTTATCGGAGATGTGGTATTTGAAATTTATCTAATCTCTAATATTTAAATTTATCTAATATTTAATCTCCATTTCAAGATTACGCCGCTGCATCTCGATTAATTAAGCTTTATTTTGGATCTTTTACGTACAAAGTTTCATCAATATGGTTTCGAGTATGAATAAATAAATATTATGAAGCTAAGTCCAAACGCAGTGGGGTAATCATAAAATGGAGATCATTTTCACAATCTACGGCTCCGGAAACACAATAATGCTTATATCGAATAAATCCGAAAAACTTCAATAAATCGAAACGCTGCGGCCTAAGCTTGAAATAGATGTCATTTTCAAAATCTACGGCTCCGGAAACATAAAAGTACAGTCTCATATCGAATAAATTTGAAAAACTTAAATGAATTCAAACGCAGCGGCGTAATCTTAAAATGGAGGTTATTTTCAAAAATTCCTCAACGATAAGTAACCCATACATCGAAAAATTAAAAAAAAAAAATATTAAATAATTAAAAAAAGATTGAATTTTAAATAGAAAAGTTTTAATTTGGAATGGAAATGCTTAAATTTGACTTGGAAATGCTATATATACATGCATAGATTAAGAAGCATGCTTAAGTATAAAAACTGTCTCTTCATGCTCGTATTTGAAATATGGGAGATGTGAGCAACTGGAAGGAGCGGCAGTATTTTCCGCAGGTGGCCAGAATAGGGTTGCAGGCTATGGGTTGTTCCATCAAAATTTTAGAGTTGGCACATTTTTATAGGATTATGAATTTATAGAGGCAACCATATTTTTGTGGGATCTCAATTTGGACAACTCTTAAACCAGCAGACAAGAGGAAAATGTAAACTAGAATTGTTATTATTCTTATTTCACTTCCTCCATTTTTGAGAACAGGAGAGCAGTAAACAATTTTGGAAACGAGGAGAGAGAAAGCGCCATCACTGTGATATGTCATACTTTGAGATGTAATACATCCAAACCAATTCAGTGTTTTCAATACATCTAATATGTTTTTTTCTAAATTTTTCAAGAAGATTTTGTCATAAGTAATTAGCTTTTAAAACTGATTTTTTTAAGAAGTTCAAAAGATTACTGGAAATGATAAAAATGATGATTTCTAACCATGTCGACGACTTTATTATTCTCGATTAATGATTATTTTTTTGGTTTAATATTCATGATCGAAGTTTAATTCTATTTAATCAATAGTTTTTTATCAAATAAGAATTATCTTTCCCACACCTGGCTCGGACAACTTAAATTCATCATTTTGTTTTAAGATTTTTACTTACATATTTTTTACTAACTACCACATAGTAATTAAGGAGTATTTTAAATCTTTAGTGGTGTATTGGTAAGATATTTATTATATAAGTGTGTAGGAATTTCCTGTCATTTCTTGCTAAAAAAAAGTCTATTGGTATTTTGTATGAAGCGATTTGTCAAGATCTAAATTTGAATGCTGTTTCTACCTATCCTGCTAGCAGCCTTTTTTATGGTGTCTCGAGTCCTAAACTTTTTATAAGACACAAAGACATTATCATAAACATACGTAATATACAACTTATTTTTTTAAAAGGAATCTGCAGCTAATCTTGTTAAATTTTTAAAAACAAAATTATGGCGGTGATATCTTTAATTATCAATGTTTTTACGGCCTATTTTTGAAGGGTTATGAGAGGAGCCCATTATTTGTAGTTTGATAAATGGATTCGACTGTTATCATTGGGATTAATAACATTCTCTTAGGACTAAATTTTACAAACATATGTTTAAGATTAAAAGTGTTTCAGATAACATTACATTACATCTTATGTTCGTCGTCGAAAGTTTATAATAAGTGATAACGGTAGAATGAAATTGATAACGGACGAGACATGTGGCATAAACTCAGATCTAGAGAGCTTAAAAGTCAATTTTTCTTTTATTTCCTATTGTCATTTAAAGGCTTATTGTGATCTAAAATCTTTTTATGTGTGCGATAACGTTGGCGTATGATTATGTGGGTGAAAAGTCACTCAATCCCTACTCAAGAAGATTTGGATGGGTCGCCGTTCCATATGACGTCACGGCCCAACCATATAAATCTAAATAAAATTTGAGTGAATCAAAAATTAACTTCATCAAGAGATTTAACTAAAATTTACAATATGTTCCTGACTAAGCGAAGCGAAAAGAGGGTTTTGTGTTTGGGTAGTCCGCTAAAAGCTATGTAGCACTATTTTGGGCGAACGGATGGATGGATTTTGAAGTTTGATAGCTCAAATTATTCAGTGAGATCTCGTAAGTGTTTTAAAACAATTTAAGCTAAAAATACTGAACCATTGTTAAATAAGATGTATTTAATCAATTTGAAAAAAAATGTTTGTCGAATCGAGCGAACGGCTGAATAGATTTTTAAGTTTGATATATTATATTATTCAGTGAAGTCCCGTGAGTGTTTAAAAAACGAAACTACACAATAATTAATCTAGTTAGAATGTGCTTGACGGAAACGCTCGATAAAATTAGAATCTGTAATTATTTATCCGAAAAGTTTGAGGCTTGTTCGGGTTTAAAACTAGGTAGATTCCCTTTCATCCGTCATGTTTAATTTGGAATTAAAACAATGCCTTCAGACAGGTAATGCGTACCAAAAAAAGGGTAGAATCTGGGTGAGACAACACCTGTGCTCGGCTATGCTAGTGATCTGGTCCTGTTTAACGAAGACACGGAAACTATAAAACTGAATACGACAACGCTAATGAAAGCCGGTAAAGAACTAAGCCTCGAAATAAATACGGATAAGACAAAATATATGTTTAGCTGGAAAAATGAGCATGATTCTGATGATATCGATATGGAAGATAGAATATTTGAACACGTAGAAAAGAGGAAAGTTAAAGAGGAGATTAAGTTTAGTATAAAGACGGAATATGCTTCTTATTTTTCCGTGAAAACTGCTTAGCTCGCTCCTTTTGTCTCGGGACCTCCACTTGTCCTCTGAAAGTATCCTGGCTATGTGGTATTTTTATGGTTATATGTGAATGACTTTATTGTGATGAAAGGAATGTTGAATGAGAGGACATCAAAAATATTCTCGAAAGAAGCAAGGAACAAATCAACTCAAGCTCACGAGCTTGTGACAGTAAAACCAAACTGAAACCAACGTATCCATGAAGAACGTAGGTAACTTAAACTGATAGAACAATGAGCCATGTTAATACCAAGTAGCGACAATGTGTCTGGCCCATTGTGGTGAGACTTCAACGGAGACTTATTTTTCGTTTAACCCCTGCTCGGTATTTCTGGCATAGAGGAGGAGGGGAGTTGTTCAAGAGGAGCAACCACTCCTATTCTAGCCAGAGTGGAAAGGTCAAGATCCATCCAGAGGAACCGTCTCGAAATAAATTTCAACCCTCCCAGTCCAGATTTGAACCGGCGTCACTAGACTCGAGAATGTTTACTATGCTAGCTGGTACTGGTGACTAATTATCAGATTGGTACATTTCAATCTAACTCAAATCGGAAAACAGTATCATATGAAAATGAGTATTAACTTAAAAATTTTAATGACCGATTTCATTTTAATGATAATTTTACAGCATAATTTAACGTTTTAATATTTAATTACATAATTTAAAAAATCGGTACAGGCGTTTAGGCACTACACTTTGTAGTGACCCAGGTGTCATTTTTAAACGAAAGGTCGGTGTTAATGTCGAGATCCAAATATCATCTTCGGGTGACATTACTATTAATTGAAACCTTCCCGATTTTAATATTAATTTTATTGCTTGTAATTATGTTATTTTTTTCATAATATTTATAAACCAATATTATGCGATATGTGCTTTCATTTTTTTCATAATCATGCAAGAGCAATACGGAGTCGCGGTAGGCGAACATGTTTAGCTTGATCCGGACAGACTCCAACCAGTGCGGATTTTCAGTTTCGAATTGTTGGCTGAGTTGGCTTTTATATCGTGATTCGCCCACGTTAAAAATGTAGAACTTTCCTTGTTGGCAAATATAGGTTGATGACCGGTCGAATATGGCCTACAGATCCCTCTCCTGATGAAGTATAAAATGGCATCGAACCCAATATATATATATCCAACTAACCAATAAAAAAAATACATATTCATTTATATAAATTGTATAATGTTAAACTTTAATTATAAATTAATATTTTTTAGTTACTTATTAATAAATTGTTAATAAGTGATTATCAAGATCTGCTCAGCGAAATTCACATTGTTGATTAGTTGTTAGAATCCGACCACAATTGTATAGACTTAATGATAATAAAAAACACAAAAATGATCTTTTTAATGAGGTCATGTTCGTTCTTAATAAGTAGGGAAACAGTGCACCGATATTTAAAAAAAAATCACATACAGATAGTATTAGTGATAATTAATAAATGGTTAAAATCTCGTTTTCATACAGTGAGTGATAGAGAAGATATTAAATGAGAGAAGTGTAACTGTTTGTGTTGCCAAATGCGAGAACAAGACGAGTCTTGGTCCTGCGCACCCAGTCTTGGGCTTGGTCTTGTATTGCGCAAGAGTCTCGCAACATTCTTGCAGTTACCTATTAGCTTATTACTATAAAGATATTACTGTAATTTTTTAGGTAGAAGATACTAACTAAGCCCTAATGAAAAATTAGAAGAGTTAAATGCAAAAGTATATTGGCTATACCAATTCTTTACATATATTAACTAAAATTGTCAAGTATTAGTGACAATTTCCTCTGACTTTTTATTCGAAAAAATCCATTTTTCTTACCGGCCTTGGTCTTTGTCTTGCAACAATCAGGTGGTCTTGGTCTTGGTCTTGCAAAGCAGCCGGCAGCAGGAGAGCATAGAAAACCAATAAACATAGAAAACCTTTTTTTCCCCATTACGTTTTAAACTATAAAATGGTAATGAAACTATATGAACATTCAAAAGAAAGAGTTTCAGGCAACTTTTTGCATCATGGGTACCCACTTTTACTTCTTAATATTTCATCCTCTTTCATAGATTGAAGGTGAGGACAAAATATTAGGATGAAAAAATTTATCCCGCAAGTGAAAAAAAAACATCAAAAAATAAACACAGTAACTAATATGAAAACCCTGTAAAAAAAAAACCATACTTGCATTGGTAAAAGGTTGGCTGGTCAATTGTTAATTGATATTTGTAAGACGTTCCACTATAAATTACACAGTATACAGATTAAACGTAAAATGATTCTCTGTTTTTATGAGCTCCAAATCAATTCTCTGTGTTTGACCAAAGTGAATCCAAGGCACTTTCTGTTAAATTAAAAATATCTATAATTCAATCTCTACATTATATAATATCCAGGGCGTGAAAAGATCAGAAAAGTAAGAAGCATTATGAACTGAGGCGGTGAACAGTGAAATAAGAAACAGTGCAAATGTAGTGCGAACATCTCACTCAAGCCAACGAGTCGTGAAAAGGTTCCACCATATCCCTCACGGTTCGGCAGTGATAGGTATATGGATAAAAGGCAATTGTAAATTTTTTCAAGGAATAAATTTATTATTATTATGTATAAATAATAATTATAAATTCGACGAATTTACCAGGCCTTCCATTTTTTTTATTCGACCTGTATAACATGTCATGGCCACAAACTTCTCTTAAAAAAATGTTCCATGCTACTACAGTTGCGATGGATAGTTCGAGCTGCTTTTTCTCCCACTGTAATGTTGTTAAATTAAGGGACCACCCATAAATGAATTTTAAAGCCGTTAAAAAAGAAACGGTTTTGTTACTACTACGAAAGCATCTCCATTTAATCTTCCCGTCGAACTCCATTTTATGGCCTTCATCACAATATTTGACCTTTGCAAATATCCTGGCGTCTTGAAAATATTTTATAGTCTCTTCTCCTAAAGACGGCAATTCCCACAATGTAGCAACATCCATAATTAAATAACACTAACTCATAGCTAACACAAGAAACAAAAAATAAACAAGGGAATAACTTAGGTTGGATGAGATAATGGAGGTTATGTGAAATGAGATTAGATTAGAAGTGAGGTTTTGACGCTACCTGCTACTAAATAAGTACCAAATGATATTATAATTGATATCTGATTAATGTCATCAAACAACTGAACTGTCGACTACTGGAACCTTGAGACCATCTGAATTTTGAAATCTCCCAGTTTTTGTGACGACTTTCATTTAAGTTTATAGAAATTTAAGAATCGAGATTTTGATTCGCCTCTTTTCATGAAATTCCCTTTCGTTTGATACCTAATTCACCAAAATCCATTTTCCAATTGTCTTGTTCCGATCCATTTAATTTTCTATACCGTTAGTAGAGATAGTAAAACTGAACAATTGATCCATACAAAATTAATCAGAAATAAACAGTGTCAGCCTTTTATAGATGCCTAAGATACTGATTTTCAGGTTCAGGCCATTACCCTGCTTAGGTTCATATAAATTAATTGTAATATGTTTTTTGATTTGTAGTTGTATTGGTTTGTAGGAATTTTCTTTGCTATCTATTATAAATACTGACAATAGAACAGTGAAGATTACTTGATAGTTTAAATGGGAATTCACACATATAAAATTGTGATGGTGAAAAGTTTTACAAATATTATTTCTCAACCAAAAATATACACCAAATAAATAGTTATTAAATAAGTAGAAGGCCTTAAAAAGGCATATTATATACAGTGCCATATTTATTTTAAAAATAGAGAGTAATTCTTTTAATATCTTTTTAACAAGTCTATATGTTACTAAAAGTAAATTAAAGTAAATCAGGAGTAAAATAGTTACTTAAGAGGTGAACCATAAAACCTGTTTTTAGACTTATTATTACCTTATGGAATAATATAAAACTAATAGCATAATAATAATACTAATTTAAACCCATATTTGCAGGAACTGCCAGTGTGGCTAAGGCTTTCTCAAATTACCTAGATGTTATGATGGACTACAGAATGAATAGAACTCTCTCTAAATTGTTACCAATGCCTTACGATTTCCTCGCCCCCTATCCAGATTTCCTCTCTCTAGGCATTGTTCTAGTATTAACAGGTATTGATATATTAACTCCTCTAAAACTTTCTAACTAGATGATACTATTTTATAGGAAATTATTATACATAAATTTTACTGTTCCATAAAATAAAAAAAACTATCTTACAGATGAGCTTTATATAGTAAGAAAAAATATGTATACCATTCAAATAATTCTATTGTTTTAGTTCTTAAGAACATAATTAAGAGTATGAAGTGAACATTAATTTTGCTCATCATATCATGTCCCAATATGTTTTTTCATGTTCATAACAGTACAAACCAATATAAAAGATAAACGGAACCATATTTCTATTGGCTTGTATTGTTAGGATCATTAGAAATGATATTTGCATTGCACAATGAGTAAAAATAAAGGAAACTGGTCAGTATTCAATTTGTGGCTTATACTCTTAATAACAAAAAGGACAGAATAAACCTTTTTTATCAACGAAATGTAATAATTTGTGATTAAATAAATATATAATGTAGAAATGTTTTTATTATATAACTTTATTTTCTAAGGTCTTTTGGCTTATGGTGTAAAAGAGTCTGCCTGGATGAACAATCTCTTCACTGCTCTGAATCTCCTTACTGTCGTTATTGTCATTGTTGCTGGTCTGTTCAATAGTAAGTATTTACCTATTGATTATCACTTATGTGATATTAAGAAATTAGGAAATAAACTAAGCAATTCTCAAAGAAGATAAGTAAAAAAACATTTACCAGCTCATAAAAAATGTAATATGATCAAATTAAATTAAATTTTAATGAATATACATTAGTTGAATTGCTGTTGTGGTTTTTGTAGTAAAGTTAACAAAACAAAAGTGCACACTTCAATTTATTTATTAATCGAAAATTGCTATATGTTTTCAATAAACCTCACAAAATATTGTATTTCATTTGATAAGTTTGCCTTTCAATATTAAGCAATATTCCAAGATCTCCAAATAAGTATTTCTTTAATTTTTTTGGAAGAAACATCCTTAGAATACATTTATATCTTAAAAATCTATAAAATCAGATCTCCTAGTCGTCTCATAAATTGCTAACACAAGATTGCACTAACCATTAATTTTCAAATCTACACCTTATCAAGAAGGAGGGTGGGAATTTGATTACATTTAAATACTTATCTTGTCTTGAAACATTAAAAATTCCCTTTCATATGTCTTATATATGCCTTATTGAGTGTCTATATATTTTTTTTTAAATTGATTTTCTTTTTTAAATGATATAGAAGTACCTTCAATAAAAACTCTTTAATAATATAGTTTTCATTTGTATTAGTTGATGTAGGGAATTGGAAAATTCAAAAGGACCAAATTCCTAAGGACAAGAATGGCGGAGAAGGTGGATTCATGCCTTTTGGGGTATCGGGTGTGATGGCAGGAGCTGCTAAGTGTTTCTTTGGCTTTGTTGGATTTGATTGCGTAGCAACTACTGGTATGTTATGAAGTTTTAAATCGCCTAAAAATAAGTTAGGGTAAATATCATCACAAGTCACCAGTGTTATCCGTAGGTGTTTATTTTTATGATTTTTACCTTTCATATTTATTTATTTACTTACTAAAATGTATTTACTGTATATAATGTATATGTATATAATGTGTGTGTAATAATTTGTTTTTTTCTTAAATAAGAGAAGATTCAATAAAAGAGATTAAGAGAGATATTATTTCAATCTTCTGTAGAAAGATTTTTATTTATAAAATCAAATTTTGGTTATATTTTGTCTAATCCTGTCCAATACAAGAATTAATCTAATCCTGTCATCACTCAATCTGTTTTTATTCATCCTTTTAAAATAAAAACTGTAAAACAAGGTATTATAAATTCACAAGATTTCCTTTTGAATTTTGACTTAACTCTTCATAAAACATAGTTTTGATTTATAAACCACTATTTTTAAAAGAAACTGAAACTTATCCTATCTAGAGCTAATAACTGAAGGTAGATGTCCCTCAAGATGACAGAAGGATTCAGGTAGATTTTATATCGAAAGTGATCAATATTTTTACCAGTGTTTAATGAGGCTCTTGTTTGTCAACAGGAATTTTAAAGTTATGTGCTTTGCTTTATCAGTTTATTTTTGGTGCTAAAATTGCTAGTTTAGCTCTTTTGATTTTTGACTGAATATTTGTTTAATAAAATAAATCAATCAATTGAAATGTGTAACCATGTCACTGTAGTAATAATACTCAATAAAAATAAATCACCAAGTATCTTAAAACGTATTTATATTCTAAATACTATTTACTAATGAAAAAAAAAATTAAAAATAAATCATGAAAATTATGCCATATAAATGTTACTAAATGCACACTGATGTATCTACCACTTCACTATAGCTCTGATACATAATAAATATTCAAAGAAAGTCTTTAAACAGCCTATTTATATTATAAATAGCATATCCTGATGAAAAAATAAATAAAAAAAACAATTATAGGAATCATGCCCTATACAGGTTTAAATAAAATGAATTTGGATTATTTTTCAAAATATTTTAGATTTAGAGAAAAGCCTGAAGACTTTGATAATGTCGGAGTTTGTATGTCACAAATGTAAACATGTCATTTAATTATTTAAGATTAAAAATTTAGTTGCCCAGAGTCATTCCATTCACTCTGTTAATATGTCTGATTATATTTTATCCAGTTTTATCATCTCTTATTTATACATTAATGATTACTTTAGTTTCATAAATAATTTGTTTTATAAATTCTTGTAACACCATTAATATTTTTATAGGTGAAGAAGCAAAAAATCCACAAAGGCATATTCCTCTTGCTATCGTAATATCACTGCTTGTAATTTTCCTGTCTTATTTTGGAATTTCAACTGTAATTACTATGATGGTTCCTTACTACCTACAGGTACATTATAAATTAATAAATGATAACAACTTATAGTTTCTAACTTCAACTAAGCAAAATTTTTATTATTAACTAATTACCATTGGTTATTATTTTTCTTTAACAAACCTAAAAACTAATGCATATGGAGTAAAGTATATTGAATATTTAGTCGTTTTATTTTACAGAATGAAGATGCACCACTTGTTGTAGCTTTTAGACAAGTTGGTTATGACACTGTCGGTACTATTGTGTCGTTTGGAGCAGTATTTGCACTTTGCACAAGGTAAGCTATATTAAGTTAATCACATATTGTTATGTATATATACGTGGGACATATTAAACAATATATATTTTGTTATTCTATATGTTAATCTTTGTTAGTATTTTAACTATATTATCCTTTCCCCTCTTTATTTATTTTTATTTTTTCATAGCTTAAAGACTTTTTTTGAGTATTTTTTTTATATATATTTGTTATATTAATTTTGAATTTGGAAATTATGTGCTAGTTAGAATTACATTTATTGTTTAAAATGTCCATAGTATTTGAGAATATTATTAATGCAAATTTGACAGTAGCATATGAATTAAAACATAAATATGTTTATTATATTAAAATCATAGATATTATTTACAGAAAATTAAGGAGCAGGAGAAAAAATGTTGTAAGTCTTTCCTCAAATTGAGTTGATAAAGAATGTTTTATATTTATTTTTACCTAACTACATATTTCTTACCTAATTTTGTTTTCAATAGGTTATCAAATATTAAGTATCAATTGCTTTAGCTTAAGAGAGTTATAGTGTCCAAAATATAATTTATATGCATTATCATAAATAAACAAACATTCAACAGCATTTTCACATCTAAATCTTCAAATTATTTTCCTATAAGTATTTCTTAAGTAATAACCATGATTCGCCCTAAATTTAAAGAGCGTAATTATATGGAGTATGGTTCTAAATGAAATATTAATTTAGAGTTTAAATTATAGTTCTATATTTAAAATTCAAAATAGTTTTTGTATAAAATATTTATTAAAAATAAAATATTCTAAACATACTCGTTTCTATATATCTATCATAATGAATTAAAGAAGTAAGAAATTTAGAACAAAAATTTAGAGTGAACTGTTTTTTATTTTTAAGAAACTAATTAACAAAGCATCCAAATTCTGGAATATGAAATAAATCTGATGAAGATGTAGCCTCATTTTTGATAATAGTATTTAAAAATAAATGAAAATTACAATATCAGCTAATACTGTCTATATGAATGAAATATTTTGATGTTTATGAATATCACTGTAACAGAAGACATAAAGATAATAAATATTGCTCTGATCCATCAGCCTCCTCGGGGCTGTGTTCCCATTGCCAAGGGTACTGTGGGCAATGTCAGCAGATGGCCTCCTTCCCAAGTTTCTGTCATACGTATCAGATTACACACAGACCCCAATAGTTTCGACCATTATTGCTGGAGTCTTTTCAGGTCTGTCATATTTTGTTTGTTTTTTTCTACACCTTAACAGATCTGAATTTATTATCACTATCAGCAGTCAACTTCATGATAGCTGATAACTGCTTCAAAATACTCAACTCTTAAACTAATATTGCTCTTGGGTTATATAGAAAGTGGTGGTTTTTAATTAACTTAATACTGGCAGAAAAATACAAAGCATGTTTTTCAATCATCTTTTTCATGTAAATAATTTTATCTTTTAGGTGAAGGGGAATCTATTATATTTCCAATGTAAATAAATATCAATTTATGTTACTAAAAATTATTACTTTATGGTAAATAGTATGGTTATTAACAATTTAACTTTAAAATTTATTAACACATTATTCTCTTCTCAGGGTTAAGATTTAAAGTTTAATAATTGCCACAAAACGTCGAAAATAGCAAGTGCAAAAGTCTGTATTATGCATCTATATAAAATATTAAATTTCCAAAGAAATGAGCAATACTGATACAAAAATTTAATTATTTGCATCATGATATTCTTAATAATTGTTAGTTCAAGTATTGAAAATATTTCAATTAATTTCATAAATATAAAAGTGATTTTAAAACAGAAAACCAATCATTTAGAATTATTTTTCAGTTTACTCGGTTCGATGTTTCCTATGCCAAGAATGCTGTACTCGATGGCTGGTGATGGGCTACTGTTTTCAAGTTTCGCCAAAGTCCACCCTAAGACGAAGACTCCTTTGATATCTACACTCGTCGCTGGGATAATATCAGGTTGGCAGTGATGTACCTCCCACTAAACAACTGGGAGGCAAAATTGGAATTTCATACGTTGCCAGGGGCGATGAAAAAATCCAGAATAATTGGTCGTCAAGAGCTTTAATGTCGCACTGTGCTCAACACGTTGTGGGTTTCAAACTTTTTTTCTTCCCTGTCTTTTTTTCTCTTCAACTTTTTTTAAGATGTTTTTTGTGAATATTTTTGGATGATTCCATTTTTGAGTTTTGGTAACAAAAGAAAAGAAAAAAGACTTTTGTATTTTGCATTTTGTGTGTCGAGTTTTTGAATCATATAATGGTTTTATGAGCACTTATTTTGTAATTTTAGCATGCTGCTTGCCAATGGTTATGTTGTATCAGGTATTGCTTAATTTTAAATGTTATATAGTTTGGCTTTTCTTAGTTTTAAAATTATACTTTTATCCTTTTTTTTTTTTAAATTTATTTCTTATATCTTAGAGAAAGTATTTTACTACCTATTTGCCTGACCTTGTGTCAAATTGTACTGTACGAACTAATAAATTTGCACTCTTTGTATTAGAGTATAAAAACAAATACTCTTTCCGCTATTTTTTTTTTGTAAAAAGAACAAAACATATGCCACTATTAGAAAAGAAATACAATAAAATTGCAAGGCTGCTCAACTGTGTTGAGTTCATTAACACAGTATACTCTTGATGCATTCAATAATATTTAAAAAAAAAAAATGGAGGAGGTTAGAAGGTATTATTATCATAAACATTGAATGTTAAGATATTTTTTCAAGTCCTAATGATGGATTCCTGAATCCAAAATAATAATTTCCATCATACCCTGTAATTAGTTCTTTTGAACACTCATATTTTCCAAATAATTACTTTTTGTAAGAGCGATGGTTTTTCTTCCAAATCTTATTCTCCTTATCAAAAGTTTTCTCTTCCCAAATTCTTCTCTACACTGTACCTGCAAATACAGAATGCATTTTTGTCTACCTGTATTTTAAGATCCTTTTCCACATCGTTCGTAATTAGTTATTATCTCGTAGATAGAAAAACCTTCACTTAAGTTATTTATTATTTTATTTTTTCTTTACTTAATTTCTTGATTTAATTTTGCATGTGATAATGTTTCCTGTTCTGCATGAATCTGTGTAATTAAAATTGTAGCTTAGCAACAACTAATCTTTGTGTCTTGTTGGAGAAGAAACGTGTTTTTTATTTATATTAAACATAAATATGATGATTTTCAGGTGTAATGTCTGCAGTATTTAAACTTGACCAATTGATAGACATGATGTCTATTGGAACACTGCTCGCTTATACCATAGTCTCCCTATGTGTTCTTCTATTAAGGTAACTAAATTTATTTATGTAATCAAATTAAATTAGAAAGAATTATTTTATACTGTTTTAGCTGTGTTCCTAAGGTTGCTAGGAATAGTTATCAAACTTATCATAATCTAATTGTTCTGTAATGATGGAAGGATGGAGGTTTGAATATTGTAATTACAGAGGCAATAAACCCTCCTTCTGTTGGTTCCCCAGATCCCTCTCCTCTCCACTACCATCTCCTCTTAGCTCTCCACTCCCTCCAACTTCTACTCCTACTTCCCTCCCTCCACCTCATCCCTCTTCCTCAACTTCCACTCTTACACTGCTTACTCCTGAGCCCCCTCCGCCTGATCTGTTTGTCAGTAACGAAATAGATTATGAGGGCTTCCAAATTCAGGGTAAATCAAAAAGTGGCAGACGGAAAAAACATACCCATAGTAAAACTTAAGTTATTATTTTATTTAAAATATTTTTATTATCTATTGTTATGTATTTGTTCAGTTTTTATTAAATTTATTTTTCCTTCTGCCAAATAAATATTACCATATGTTGTTATTGCAATGGAATTGTAATGGTTTAAAGACCCATTTTTGTGATTTAAAAATACTAATATGTAACACAGACCCATTTTGCCTGGGCCTTCAAGAAAAATATCTTGCAACAAAAGAAAAATTTACAATAAAAAATTTTGAAATTTCAAGAATTCCATTTTTTTCCTACAGGTATAGAGATCCAAAACCAGCTCTATATGAGCCTAAAACTATTATTAAAGAGAAACCAACATTTGGTCAATCATTGGGACTAGTTGTAAATTATAATAGACTCTCTACTCCAGATAAGGGAACTACCCTTATCGCTGAAGTTTCAACATTGACGTTTTGTAAGTAATATCACAATAAATGAAGTTATACAATTATTCCTAATTCAGTTTGTACCATGAAATGACATGATCACCAATTATTAAAACTTTTCTTGCAGGTGTGCTTACATTTATAACAACATTATGGTTAGTGATATTTGAGAATACTATGAGCACTGATTCATGGAGCATATATGTTTTTTACTTGCTACTTTCCTTAACTTGCCTCCCAGTCATTGTCATATCATTGCAGCCTCAGCATGTACCTAATCTGTTTTTTAAGGTACTTTTTAATCTGTTAATATTTTATATATATGTTTAAATAAATTTTGTAAGTCATGAATTCTAATTTCTATATATCGATTCATGCACCGATACTAAATTAAGAAATGCATTGATAACTTTTGATATTAATATAGGAAAATTATACAAAACATTTAGTTAGGTAATAATTAATAGTTTAATCTAACATATGTCTATTATAGGCCATAGGTCACCAAAAAAAAAAAACACAGTTTTTTCATATATTACATGTATGTTTATTCCAACGTTTCGGCTTTTTGGTGACCTATGGCCTATAATAGACATATGTTAGATTATGAGAAAATGGCACCAAACCCGAACGATGGGACTAGAAAATTAATAGTTTAATTAGTAATAACACCACATCGCTGCTGTTCGTGCAAAAGGTCATATGTAAAAATTGATTTTTTTTTTTACAGAAGAGAAAAAAAACGATTATTTCTTTGATTTATTTGTATGATTTTATATTTTATTACCCTTTGCTATTTTTGTATTTAGAATACTGCTCATAGCAGTTGCTGACCAAAAAATTTCATCTTCAGCACCAAAATAATAAACATGTTTAAATTGTTACATACAACCTTTTGCATTAACAGTAGCGATATATAATTCAATTAGTTTATGTTTGGGTGAGAACACTATTCTACCCAAATAATTTTATTTTTATTTGAAAATATTTATAGTCACTTAGATTTTGTAGAAGAGCAAGAAAAACTTCAGAAACATGTGTAATCTTTGATGATTATATCTATTTATCTAGTTTTTATTCTCCTAAATAGTGTCTTGCCGATTATTGTGACATTCATTACTGTGTAGGGGCTTCCAGATGGATTGCATTGACATGCCCCACTTATGTTAACCTCCTAGGCTTCATATCATGAGATATATTTTTCTGCCAGCAGCTTTTTGTTGATCCCTCTCCATATCTTAATACTTTGATCCTAGATCAGTCTGGTTGTCATTTAATGGACTTTTCTCACAAATATTTCAATTATTCATTCTAGGGTTTAGTTTGAAGTCAAGGTTTCACAGCCTTATATCACCACTTGCTTTATCACAACATTTTACACCCTTAATTTGAGATTTCTAGAGATTTTTCGGAAAAAATTTTATAGAAAAAATTTATAGAAAAAAATAAGAATTTTTTATTTGTGTTTGTTAAATGCTGGTCTATCTCAAATGATTGGTCATTTATTTGGGAGCCGATGTATTCGAATCTTTGTGTTCTTGGGAACAATTTTACATCCATACAGAGATCCTGCTGGTGGGGTAAGTTTTTGGTCTGCTACCATATATTTTGCTATATACCATACATCTCTTCATTTGGATATTCTAGGAAGTTAGTCAACAGTTCTACATATCATGAATGATAAACAGCCAGGACATAGTCAGTTTTTAAGATTTTTATTGCCAACATTTCAACCCAAGCTTGTGGGTCATCAGCAGGGCTGAAAAATTTATAACATCAGAGATATAATAATATATAACAGATAAATTAAAAATTTATAACATCAGAGATATAATATATATTACAGATAATTGAAAAAATTGTAATATCAGAGGTATAATATACAGGGTGTCTCATAAGTAGGGGGAAATATTTAAAATGTTGATAGTAGAAATCAATTATCAGACAGCCAACCATCTACATATATAACAAAAACATCTTATATATTTTTTTTAGTTAGTTAATTAATTAATTTAGTCACTTAATTAATTAAGTCCTTAATTAGTTTTTAGATCTCTCTTTTTTTTTAGTTCTCTTTTTTCATTCAAGTAAAGTAATATATTTATTATTAAGTTAATTATTTAAACATTATCCAAGGACAATTGATTAGTTATCACATCAATCTAAAATTCCTTAATAAGCCCTGAGTAACATATAATGTATATTTTTTGTTCAAAATATAATAAAACTGTTAAACAAATAAAGTATAATTATATAGTAATGAGTAATATAAATTGATTAGTAATTGATATAAATGTCAACAAATACTGATGTTTCTGATGTTCTTCATTTAGTAATTATGAAATTAGCAATCCATCAAATTGTCAGGCTTCATAAATCTCGCATTAAATGACATTTTTTTTAATTCATTCATTTGAAATTGTCATGTAATATTCAATTTCCATAGAAATTTCTAGCCCAAATACAGAAACAGTCTTTTTGTCGATAATACAAAAACCTTAAGTAGATTTACTGACACTATTTATATCCAAATTACATTTTGCATAAAAATATAAAATTACATTGTATATTATATTCTAGGTTCCATTAATTCCATTTCTTCCTTGTATGAGTATATTTATAAATGTGTACCTAATGATGAAACTTGATGTTCACACCTGGATTAGATTTTCCATTTGGATAGTACTTGGTAAGAAAACTATTTTATTTGACTATTTTCAATCACTTATAATTTTAAATAGCATATATATGTATTTATAAAAATAGGTCCTCTTATGGAAAATTAAAAATTATTATTGCTTTTGCATATAATGAGGCATATATTTATTTTTTCATTGAACTAAACTAAATAAAGTTGAAAATAAATAAAATCGAAATCGATGGATGAAGTCACATTAATGAGATTAAATAATTGGTCACATTTCACTGTGACATAAATTCACAGTGTCATATTGCAGTACTCCTGATTTGCAGTTATGTACCTTTTGCCTTCAAGTAGCTTTGCTTAGAGCCTCATGTTAAATTATAACCAAGAGTGCATTTTGAAATTTTGGTAATTCAGTAATCATTATCCGACCTCATTCAATAAACAAGTAACAGATGACAGGTATGTTGTGACTAAAATGCTATGTTCAATTTAAAATTTCATTCTTCCTTTATTCAAGTTTTGGGATACCTGTTTTTCCCTTTTGTCTTCCTATTTTCAAAAATGTGTTTTCTTTGTTTTTAAAATAAAGAAAGCAAAGTGATTTAAATAAGTAAGTTACATTTGATTAGGTATGGTTTTCACATCTAATGTGATAGTTTATGTGGAATAATTTTGATTGACAAAATTTTATTTGTAGTTTTAATTATGTATAATTATGTCCCTTTTTTCCTAATGTATTCAGTTTAATAATAGTTGAATAATTTATTTTAGGTGGGATGATATACATTTTCTATAGTATTTCACACAGTGTTGAAGGTAAACGTCTAAAAGGCTCAAAAGAAGAAAGGAATATTACTATGCGTTAAGCTGTACTAATTCATTACTTAATACTAATTCATTGACTTCAAAGTATCATTTGTTGCGGGATGTTCAGATTAGGCATCTCTCCCTTTAAATGGAATTTTAAATTTTAAACATAATTTATCCAGAGGTCAAACAACTTGATGATCAACTTAATTGTGTGAAAATGATTTATCAAATATTCCATCTTTTTAAAAAAATATTATTTGTAATTATTAAAAAAAAATATCTTTATTATGGTAGAACCATTGAGATAATTTTTTTTTGTTTGAGACATGATTTATCCAGTAGCTTTGGTAACATCCAGGAAGAAAAAAATTCTCTTGAGGCCTAACATCATTTATTATGAATGACCCATATATTATGTTTTATTATTTAAAATTATCATGCTACTATTACCTCAACTATAAGCCATTATTTGAGGACATTTTGTAGTTTTTAATTCCATTGTAAATACTTATTTGTGTATTGTAAATTTTAGTATAAAAAATGTATTATATAATTGTGATGTGATATTACTATTTGTGATATAGTTGAAAACTGTATTTGAGAATCCCATTGTTCTAATGTAGATAGATACGATACTTATAATGTGCTACTTTATTGAATGATTTATAGATTAATGAATAGAATAGATAGAAATTCATGAAGGGTCATTCACATATTATTTTGTATTATATTTGGCAATTTATGACATATTAACCAACAGGTCATGCACCTACGTCACAATTTTTCCATATTTTGGAGCATGATGATGATGTGGTAGTATGTGGATGGCCCCTGAAGAGGTAGGTTGTAAGGTGTTATCCTATACTTGATGATCCTTTTACTGACAATTTGCAAGCTTTGTCCGATTGTTCAGGACCTTTGACAGAATCAGAATCCCACTAGTTTTAAGATTTTTGGTTAGGGTAGCAGCAAGATTACATTTTTTTATAATGGCTCCTAAAGAGGTAGGTTGTAAGATTTTATCATATATTTGCTGATTCTTCTACTGACCATAATTTGACAAATTATTTCCTGATCCTTCAGGACCTTTGACAGAATCAGAATCCCACTAGTTTTTAAGTTTTTCGGTCGGAGTAGCAGCATGTTTAAATTTTTTTAAATGGCCTCTAAAGAAGTCGATTGTGAGGTGTTATTCTATATTTGCTGATCCTTTTACTGACCACAATTTGACAAATTATTTCCTGTTGTTCAGGACCTTTGACAGAATCAGAATCCCACTAGTTTTAAGACTTTTGGTCAGGGTAGCAGCAATATTATTTTTTTTTTATAATGGCTCCTAAAGAGGTAGGTTGTATGGTGTTATCCTGTATTTGCTGATCCTTCTATGGACCATAATTTGACAAATTATTTCCTGATCATTCAGGACCTTAGACAGAAGCAGAATCCCACTAGTTTTAAGATTTATGGTTAGGGTAGCTGCAAGATTATATTTTTTTATAACGGCTCCTAAAGAGGTACGTTGTAAGATTTTATCTTATATTTGCTGATCCTTTTACTGACTACAATTTTCCAAATTATGTCCTGATAGTTCAGAACCTTTGACAAAAGCATAATCCCACAAGTTTTAAGGTTTTCGAACAGAGCAGCAACAATTTAAATTTTTTTGTTATTGATCAGAAAATTAATTTGAAAATAAAGAAATCATAAAATTAAAAAAAAATAATGTAAAATGGAAAATGTTTTCCACTAAATTATGCATAAAATTTTTGTATTATTAAAACATATTTCCAGATATTAAATATTCTTAAATGGTTGACTATAAATGCAAATTGAAAAAGAAAACGTGTACGTTGAGTGGTTATTATCAGGACCATTTCTCCACTCTTGGGCTCTATTTCTGTTCCTCCATTGCTCCACTTTTGTTCTCCATTCCTGTTCCTCCATTCTTTCTCAGTTTGCTCTTCAGTAATTGGTCAAGTTATGGTTACTGTTGTGTTGATTTTTAGTTCATTGCTATCAGTATCAAAACATATTTGTTTTGTTCATTTTTTAGTATGAATATTTAATTTACTCTTTAATTATTTATTTAAAATCAGTATAAAGCTTAGATTAATAATAAATATGAAAATTAGGTTTGTTTTTTTTTAATTTCAAATAAAAATTGCTTAACTTCTTAAGTTAAAGTTCATTACAAACTTGCAAGCTTCCACCACTAAATTCATGCTTCTTCAGGACTAACATTTTTATCAATAGTTCTTGAAAAATTTTTTGACCATTATATAGATTGCTTTTAAATTAAATGAGCTAATGTGGATATCTCATGCTGCAAATTTTGAGTAAATTTGAGGAAGAGTTGGTAGGTTGGAAATAAATCTTGAATGAACTTTTGATTTGGAATTGTCCAAAATTAACATATTATTTATATTTTGCAAATGTCTCCAGTGCATTTTCCAGAATTTGATGAGCATATTTTTTTTTTCTTTTTACTTATGTTTTCATAAACAATGCCTGTCTTTTGATATAATTAGAAACAACTTTATAAATATATATGAAATTTTAAATCACATTTGTGTTTATGGAGATTACTGTGAACCGCATACGATTAGTGACTTAACTACAAAGCACAAACTTTACTATGTCTAAAGCATATTTAATTTTATGTTTAAAATATCAATTACTTGTTACAACTAAGGTAAATGTTCTTGGACTTATAATCCTGATCTCTCAGGGTGTTGACAAATTTAGAATCCCACTAGTTTTTAAGTTTTCTTTGCTTTAGTTGTTACAAGAATTATGTTAGTGTTTTGTAATTTTTTAAATCAGATTGAATTATAATGATTCATTAGAATGATTTGTAACTCTAAAAATGTATGGATACTTCAATTCAACTTGAGGATGTATATATATTTATAATAACTTAACAAATATAATATTTAATATAACAAATTATTTTTTTAAGAAATTATCCTAAGTTTTAAAGCAATATTTTGTCTTGATATTAGACTTATTATTCATAACTTTTCAAAAATATTGTTTGCTTGGTTGAGAAATATTTAAAAATACCAAAAAGTTTATCGATAATAATTTTGTGAATAATTATTATTAATAGTAATAGTATTATGGAAAAATGTTTGTAAATAATATTGAAGATATATATTATCTATCAACAGTTGTGCAGTATTATAAGGTTATGAACATGTTATTTTATAAAATAAAATTTTATTAATTATATTGAACTCTTTTTTTATTTGGCTTATAATCCTTTTATTTTCCTACCATAGTTGATTCATTGTAACTTAAGGCTCAAGTAGCTATTTTTAGGGAATTAATATTTCAGGGAAAGAGTTGTACCCAAGAACTTCTTAGCTCCCTCCTGGTTGTCTTGCATTGAGTATCTCCTCCTGTAGAAAGGATTCTAAACATGTTTTTTGCATTAATCTCCCACCATGATTCGCCAATACAGATCAATTCCATACATCCCAGACCTATCTCAAAAAATCAAAAAAGTTTCAACTTCAAAATTCCCACATCTACAAATAGTTTTCAAAAATAAGAGTAAATTAAGAAATCTATACACCAAACTCAAAGATCCTGTTCCACTGCTACAATAATAAAATATTGTATACCATATCACATCACATGCTCTGGCCCAAATGGCAATTCTTCTTATATAGGAGAAACCAAACACTATTTTAAAAAACGAATATATCAACACAAATACAGCATCTCCACACAAAATCCATTCGCCTCGAAACGTGCAGAACACGTCATAACTCTCAACCACACATTTGATTTTGAAAACCCAACCATACTTAGCACAGTTCCCAATCACCAAAAACGACTACTTTCTGAAGCTGTATTCATCAATTTGGAAAAAAATAACCCGGAAAACCACAAAGAAAAGATCTGGAACACATATTCGAATATTTTCTGCCTCCTAAAACAATAGTCTATAATCATTAAAATTTTGTTTTTCAGTTTCCCCATTTCTCCGTCAACCTACATAGGTAACTACTCCTACGTTTATTATATATATATATACTTATATTCCCCATTCTCAATATAAATATGTACTATAAACAGACACAGATATGTTTATATTTATACTATTAAAACTATGTAATCCTTAATATACATACTTCTATTATGATTAATATTGTTATTTTTAAAATACTGTAAATAAATATTTTGTCGTATGTATCTTTTCAATCCATTACAATTGCCTTTATTATAAATATTATTTGGCTCACCATTGTATACCTTTAATCAAACTATGTTATATTTATATTGATTGGCTCCTCTTGCTTATGTTCATTTCATTACTAGCCAATATTCACAATTATGTAGCCATAAGAAACAATGCAAATCTTGAACATATCTTAAATATTCAGCAGCAAATTATTTACATTCTACTAACAGAAATGTTACCTCCCTCCCTCCCTCTGACTATATTTATCTACCTTTTGCTATCTGAAAAAGGACAACTGGGAAATCCTCCCCCGACCTTTTCACTTACCTACCAAACGTGTCAGTACTTGAGCCTTCAGTGCTCAAACCACGCTTAGTAAAATAAAATATTACAAGTTTTTATAAATAGATTATATATATTAATTTTAGTTTGTATAACTTTTTACATATTTCATTTTTAATATTGTGTATTGTAATAATAGTTAAGATTCATGCACCATCAATCACTATAGTTTATTATTTGCCATTATCGGTGGTATAATATTATATCTCTGATTGTATTATAATAGAATTATATTTTGGGTGATAAATATTCAGGACGCAGTCTTTTTTAAAATTTTTATTTTTGCCAACGTTTCAACCCAAACATGTGGGTCATCTTCAGGGTTGAAAATTATATTTATTTTTATTTTTGCCAACGTTTTGGTCCACGTTTCAAGCATACCTCAGGGCTGTTCTCACAAAAAGTGCTGTAAGACAAACCAAATATGCAAATAGTTTTTCTTCTAGAATTTTTCACAATCATGGTTTTCCTCAACCTAAACATCTTGTATTTATTTTTTCTTCATTTCTCACTATCTTGTTCTTATCCAGTCAGGCATTTTATTTTTTGTTTTTTACCTTAAATTTTAAGATCCTTGAAAGAGGTAAAGCCAATCAAGTTAGTCAGTAATATTAGGAAGCATATGATAGGCAACTAAACATAATTAGTCACAATCTTAATTTCAGCTTATTAAGCTAGAAGATCAACGCATTCAATATTTAAAGACATACTAACCACTTTACCACAGAGGCAGGTTCAGGACATAGGAAAATAATTCACATTAGATTTTTGTAATATTTTATTTGTAATATAAAAAAAGGGAACAGTTCACATTAAAAACCAAGAATTTATAAGGAACATAACATGACTGAAACTACACATTACAACATGCAATTATTCTCCTATATAAATATGAAATTGAACTAAATGTATATATAATAACTTAATAAAAATAAAACTTTGAGAGATGAAAGTAGTTGTCCTTATTCTTAAGTGTAAAAGTTATGTTGCTTGTTGAGCTTATGCCATAAGTACTCCACTGCTTGACATTTCTATTCAAAAAACTTTCTTAAATGACTCAAAAAACAATGAAAAACTTTATTAAAATTGTGAAAATTAAAATATTACCTGATATAACATAACTTGACAATTATAAAATACTTAAAATGAAATCTCTCAAATTAGGATTATTGTCACTATTGTATTATTTTATAAATGTTTTTTTAAATTTTTTTATTTAATTTTTTTTTTGGTTTTATGAATTTATTTTTTCAAATAGTCATAACACAAAATAAAACTATATAAAGTTTTACAGATATAAATTCACAAAATATTACACAAATCACTATAAATAGTCTCACTATGATCATTTATATTAATAAATAACACCTGTCTCAGAAAAGAATTTCATATAGTAATTTTAAAACATTATAAATTTAACAAGAGAAATGATTTTTTATAAGTTTAGTGTAATGTTTCTACAACAAATATCAAAATATATTTTGTACAATTTTCTAAATTTCCTCGATCAGTCTTCATACTTTTTTTTTCTATTATCAGCAAACAATTATAGTATAAAAATTAGAAATCAATTTGAATCTTTTTTTTTTTAATCCACATCATTAGTTATTTTTCTTAATTATTCATTTGAAAGTTGACCTTTTAAATCTATAGATTAAAAAAAAATGAGAAATAATAAATAAATGGCAAATCTGAGACAAGGAAGACTATAAGTATTATGTTAAATCACAACTACTTTTTGTATAATACTATTCATACAAATCAAATTAACAATTCCAAATAAGAACTATATACAAAATTATTATAAACCAATTAATACATAACAAACACATACATCATAACGATGTGAAGTATGTATAATCTCTACAGCCAAAAATAGAATAAAATAAATACATAAAATAATTATTATAAAAATAAATAAAGTAATAGGATTTCATTGTGACCTTAAATATTATTAAAATTATTTCTATAATTTTCAGGTTACAGAACATAAATAGAGGGAGGGAAAGCACCAAATTTTATACATCTACTTTTCCCATAAAAGGTTTCTAAATATTCTACTCTCAAATCTAAAATGTTATGAAACAATTTCAAACATGGCTTCTTGGCCTACTCCTCACCTTAATTAGCATTCACAGCCAGTGATTTGCATATAAGGCAGCAGTACTATAAACTATTCATTTATATTCATAAATATTCTGCAAGAATTAGTTCAATTTTGTTTAAACAACATAACCTACAATAGGAATCCTTATTTAAATAAAAACAAGTGAACAATTTTCGCTCTGACCTCTCTTCCTTAGTAACTTCTTTAATACTTCAATTCATAATGTGTACTTTTACGGTAATTGTAATAATCTTAATTTAAGAATATCACAAAACCACAACATCATTGTTTTCCTGTGGTGCCTAGAGAGGACTAGACCACACTTGACTTACTTATAAGTTATTAAAATACTGCAACTGCTAAGGAACTATCTTTGAGACAGACCTTAATCTTACATAAAATACTATAAACTTGTTTAAAAAACAAAAGAAAACTGTATAAGTGCAGCATAGGTCTCGATTGCCATAAACAAGTTGATTAATTTTTCATTAATGGAATGTGTCACTGAAACGTTACTGGGTCAGAAATTTCATGATTAATAAACTTAAAAAGAAATTGCTACACTTATACATTAATGAGATGCCTAGCTTTACAACATATATTTTTCTTTACATTTAAAAATAAATTAATTTTTCTAACAAATGAATCACAACATTTGACTAAGTATAAAAATACCAAATGTATCATCATTATTTTGGATTTTAATTTAGTAAAAATAAATAAAAATAAAAATGTGAAAAACTAAACATCTCCTATCAAAGCCATTGTATAATATATTTAACATTTACACATTAAACTGTTGTGACAAAAAATGATTTTAAGATTATTAATGGTATTTTTAAAATGAATAAATAAATAAAATGACGGGAACAACTGGCTGGATGTTTTCTTATTTAGATGCTGACATTTCATGTAAGCTGGTAATTGTTCCTGTAACAAAACCAAGAACACCGAAAGAAATGATAAAAAGGTTTTTCCATAGAATCCAGTTAAAACGGCCAAGACCAGACTCCCAAAGCACAACAAGCTCGATGAATGAAGGGAACATGAGGCCTAGAGTTGACAAGCAGACTGCTCCGACTAAAGAGATGAATGGTCCAATATTTGGAACTGCTATAGCAACAGCCACTGAAACAATAAAATTATTATTAAAAGTGCATAAGCATGATGAAATAAATGAAAATATAATATAAGTTTATTGAAGGAAGTTAGTCAGCTGTACTACAGACCATTGGTGATAAATACTCAGGGCGCAGTCATTACAAGAGTTTTATTGTCGCCGACATTTCAAGTACTTGAACACCTTTGTTTAGTGCTGGTACATACCCTGATAATAACATACATGCTTGAGTTGAAACATCGGCAACAATAAAAATCTTAAAATGACAACGTCCTGACTATTTATCACCTATAATATAAGAATTTAAAATAAGATATAGTTAATAAAACTTTTGTTGATGACATTGCATTCTGTAAAACTCACATTCTTTAGAGAAAAAAATTTATACATAGAAATATCTGAAACTAGTTTTTTAAAAAAATGTTTTAATACTTTAATTAATCACAAAACTATTCTAAATAAAGTGAATTTGCAAGGTTTACTTATGACCTACTAAATAATGTTTTTATATTTATATTGAATTGTGAGAATAAAAGAGACAGAAGTAAAGTAATTTGTTTTGTTAGAACAAAAATTAGACAAGAATAAATTCTACAAGTCCTCGGCATATTTCCAGTAACATATATGCTAGTATTTTTTATAGTATACATAATCAAGTATTTTTGTCCAAATGACGGGTTAGATACTTGAAAGTTAGCTGTTTCATGGGATAATGAAGTCTAAATATTAAACTCTCTGATATTGGAAAATTTTAACTTGAGACAATTATATTCTCACAATATGGCATATATACTCGTGTGTGTGAATTAAAAATATATATATATTAAAAAATCTTTGCTTTATTTATCAAACAAACTTATTTTTCAATAATTATTTGCTGAGTTAAAAAAAATCTTCTTTTATGATATTTTACAAGCATTAAAGTTTTTTTATTAATAATATTTAATATTATTATTAAATTGATATTTATACATACTTGTAGCACAAACTAAAAAGATCCTGATAGAGCTTTCAGCCAGGAGTGGGCGAGATGTGAACCTGTGTTTCAATGCCTTCCAGATGATTTCCATTGGAACATAGAATTGAAGGGCATAAGTCAGGAAAATAGCAATGGCTATCATGATGTTGACTGACTGAGCCAATCTATAAAGATCAAAAGAAAAGTTATACTCATCAATTTAAAATAGAATATATCAATTATACAATCATATATACATGTTCGTATATATTATAAATACAACTTATTCAAGGTAAAATATTTACATATATATAAATAAATAAATATATATTTGTATGTATGTATATATATAAATATATATATTTACAACTTTCCTTTAATCGACCTTTGAGTATTAAATTTAAACATAACCATGTAATTGGGAATAAGGTCACTTATTAATTATACAATAAACTACTTAAATGTTCATTTCCTCTGTGTTTATTGGCGTTTCGATCCCGGTGTTCTTTTTATAAGTTAACAATGGGATCCCCTTCAAAGTTTTAAAAATAGAGCTTCGATACCTCAGGCCAGGAACACACCTACAGTTTCAGCACCGTCCACCAGCACAGATATTAAGCTACTAATGTATAATTAATAAGTGATCTTATTCCCAATTAAATGGTTATGTTTAAATATATGTATATATTTATCTATATAAAGCTCTTGTATAAGTTCTTGCTATTTCTTAACTGAAGGCAACACCAGTACTATGTGCTACTATATATTTCAGGTGATAACATGATTTCCCAAGAACTACTGTCGGTAAGCATAGACTTCAGTTTATCTTAGTTTGCCACATTGGAAACGTTTTTTTTTTTTCTTTGTCCTAAAAAATTTGAGTTTTGCGCCAAGTAAAAAGTATTTGCAGGGAATTTTATTCAATTGAAATCTGTAGCTGAAGCGCACAAAATTCTTGTTAAGACTTACAGTGAGCATGCTCTGTCAGAAATGATATGTAGAGATGGGCTTCGGCCCTTCAAAAATAATGATTTTAATCTTGGAAAAACAAAGGAAAGAATGCTCTGGCGCACTGAATTCGAGAAATTACCCATGTCATACGCTACTTGAACTTGGAAAATCAATACAGATATATAACCCAACAGTTATTAAACATTTGTTTTATCATTATTGGTAGTTATCAAAAGTTATTGGGATTTTCCATACCCCAATGTGTTGTTTAAGTTATTATTCTGGGTGCCTCACACACCAATGTGCTGTCCATGTAACTGTTCTATGAATTTCGTATCCCACTGTTTTCTTTGTTATTTTGAAACTTAGAATAATTCAGGTATGGATTTCTAATTTTCTATTTTTTAATTGTGGTATTTTCAATTCAGATATTAATGTAACGAAACTATTTTTTTAGTATGGCAACTTCCAAAAAATGTGTTCTTCTCCTGACGAAATCCAAAAATTTTTTATGGGAGTTAGAAGGTGATAAAAAGGTACAAGGAGCATATTAAATAAAGACAGTAAATTTTAAACAAATGTGTCATGTGTACATTACAGCAAGAAAAACAAGGAGGTTGTCTCTCTGATTTTTCTTTGGAATGTTGAACCATGCTGGTATAAACAGCATGATATTGTTCAGCTTCATTGACTGGCAAAAGAAGATGACATGACCAAATTATTTATTTGGATTAGGCTATTCGTTACTTGAGCCCTGTTTGAAAGGAAGACTGCAAGTGGAGACACTTACACAAATGGTGAGTTTCAACATAAATGAAATTTTGTGACTTAAAAAATAAATAACTACTGTTGAAAAAAATAAGTCAAATATTTGTTTTACACGAGAGAGAAAAATAGGAAGACAAAAATGGTTTGTCAGCAATGTAAGAGACCGATCTGCAATGAACATAGGGCAACAGTTTGCTTGGATTGTTGTGAGTGGTCACTGAAATGGCCCTCACGATAGGTTTTATTCTTTTTAAATAAATCAATTTTTTTTTCTTTATTAAGTATATATTTTAAATTCCAAATATATATATTTAATTGATATAAACTTCATTTTCAATGAAAAAATATTGATCCTTTTTTTTAATTTTTTAGCGATACAGATGTTAACTTCTTATTTTATGTGAGCATATAAAATATATTCTCTAAGATTACCTTTAATTTATTTATTATTTTGTTTTCCTGATCATTTAGTTTATTCCTGAAAACTGTTTGAGTATTCCAGAGTATGACAATTTAATTTTATGATAATTTAAAGTTTGTGGTGTATCACACCCCAGAGTGTCAGAATGAGTTGACATATTTGCGTGTGTCGTTCTATAGTTAAGAAGTCTTAAATATCTTTCATCAATTAATGGGTTAAACTTATGATATTTTAATTTTAGTTTATTAATTTTTTTATTTATCAAATTATATTTATATAACTTTATCATTAATATAATTATAATTTCAACAACTAAAGTTAATATACCAATAATAAAATAATTTAAACTGTTGGCAAAATATACTTACAATTCTTTAGGTAAGTTCAGTGTTACACTATCCATGGTGGCATCTCCATACTTCAGGTATCCAAAGAAACCAACACCAGCATAGAGTGAGACGACAAAGAACATCCCAGTATTCAAAACACCAGGGCACCCAATGAAATGTGTGGGGGTTTTCATATTGTTCTCAAGAGGCATAACCTGAGAACAGATTAATGCTGCAAAGCTCAAATTAACTATATATTCCAAATCGAACACAAACCAAAAATTGCAATTTTGCCATTTGAAACAAATTTAATTTAGAAATTCGTTTGTTCTTTAGTTAGGAAGAAAATTTAGAAAAATAAAAATTTAAGTGTTCCATTTGAAATCTTTAAATACTAATACTGTACTGCTGAATAACCGCAGTTTATTATTAGTAGAGAATAACTAAATTATGTGAAACATAATCATATTTTTCATATTAAATCTTGTTATGCTTGATAATTACCTTCATGTCAATAAATAATGCATTTTTTTTTCAATTTTATTGAACAGGACAAAAAAACATACTGCCAAACTTTAAATCTGAATTAAATAGAAATCAAAGTGAGTTTACTAGCAACATAAACATTCACATACATCAATATTTTTTAACACTCTATCTAAAACTTTACTAAAATTACACGTAGAATTATGATAAAATAATGAAATATTTTATTTAAATAATTTTAATTAATAATTTTTGGCATATGTAGGTATTAGAAATTGAAATAATCACTTCTAAAATAGAACATAAATATATCGTGATTTGCTAAGTCTTACTATTATAAATGTTACTGTAGTTAGCTTAAACATTTTCAATCCCCACATATATTATTACAGTAAGGCTCGAAATCGGTTTTGTACCAAATATAAGCTCCTGTCATGCTCAAGCACCATGAATGGGGTACCGTTGGATTCAGAATTTCACGGGGGGTTAGCGAATCGTATTCTCCACTTTTGTTTTTCTTTCTAAAATAAATAAAGTCGATACAAACATTTTGCTAGGCTTCAATACTGGAACGGTGGTAGGTCTGTAGATCGATACGGAATTAATTGGATCTTGAAGACTTTGATGCGTACACCAAGACCCGGATAGTTCCTCCGGAACTATCGGATCCTGCGTTTTTAAACCCTAAAACGTACTATTTTCGAGATAACGCAAGGCATAGGGTTTGCATCCACACAGCCTTACATTAATTATGGTACTGTCATTGAATACATGTCTCATTTTGTCGACTTGAGGTCTTTATGATCGAGGGAGGAGTAATTTATATTATTTATTGATGGTGTTTTTGATCGGCATGCCATATCATCGTTAATTTTTCACCAAATCTCAAGATTGAGCCACCAATTTCGAAAGTTTCCTTCTCCTTAAGGCGGGCAAAATAGTCCAATCAACCCCAAAATTCAGGCAAACAAGTTATGAAAGAAAACAAACTTTATTTGCGAATAACTAACAAATTACACACTTTTCCCCCGGTTATTCCCATGATTATATAAAAGATTACTGAATTCCCTACAAAAAAAAAAAGGAAAAAAAAAAATCATCGAAATCGGACTATTTTTAACAAAGATACAGCTTACTGAAATTTGTGAACATGTTGGTTCCAAACAAAAATGTAGATTTAAATTAATTTTTGTTTTCTTTGTTGATTATATTTATCGATAAAGTAACATTTGATTTCTTTATCTTTTGATACCTTGCATTATTTTATTTTCTTATTAATTTGGCATTTGATAACAATATGCTGTGCGAATTGTTCGATGGGCCAGCTAGTTTTAATAAAAAGTTTTAAGATATTCTGTAGTGAAACTCACCACCCCGACACCTTCCAGAGCGAAGATAGCTGTCCCAAAGTAGATAGGCAATGTTTCAAAGGATGCAAAGGAGGGGCGGTCACCTACCGCAGGGAGTCCATCACGGAAGACATAGAAAAATGTAATGACCATACCAACTGCCATAAGGATGTTGGCTACCATAGAAAATGGGGCAAGGTACTTGAGATTCCTGATCAGGTTGACAGCAATAAGTAGAGGCAACAGAGACAGCATGTAGAATCGAAGATCTATGTCGTGTTCGAATACTACATCACCAACCTGATGACATAAAAACAAAACAATATTTTTACATAAATATATTAATGAGATATTTGAGAATATTGTTAGCTTTGACAATAATTCTTACTGACCTTCTTAATTCTATGATTAATTTCAAATTATGATTCTGTGATTTATAATTTTGTTTTTATTATTGTAACTATAACACCAAGTACCTAGTTTAAAATATAAAATTTTTTGTCATTGCCCAACTATCTGTAGAGTAATTTATTTTTTATGTCATTTCCAACAGCCTAAAAAACAAATAAATGCCAAACCATTTACTTTTTAGCAACAATGAATGGGAAGGGTGGAGCATTCTTGACAACAGAATACTTTTCACACCTCTACTGACCATTTACACATTTTTATGAATAAGAAACTAGAATGTAGCATTGATCACTGAACACCCTATCGTTTAACGGAAAAGAGCCCTATAGGCTCTCAACTTATATCTGAGTTCACCGTTGCCTGGACCAAATTTCATCTTGATTCATATATGAGTCCACCATCATTAAAGGTTACTAATAAGTTTCAGGCTACTAGAAATAGTATTTACTTTGCATAAAAATGTATAATTCAATTTTTTGTCTGGGACCTAGCTCATTATTGATGGGCTTCATACATATAAGTTTGAGTGCATAGTAATAACCACAATTGATGTTTGGAATGAACCTCTAAAAGCAGCACAATAGGTACTTCAAACTCTAGTTACAATATAAAATAGTTTCTTTTAATTATCAATTAAGTATTAGAAAAAAATGTTGAATCTGATTTTGTTGTTATGTCAGTAAACAATAATAGGATAAAAAAAAAAAATTCTCATGACGAATCCTTTGGGAAACATACACATAATTTATTGTTTAACTACATGACTCAGGAAAGAAATGCTGTTTTCTTACTCCCTAATATACTACAATTCAGATGTATTAACATATTAATCTATTAATCTTAACCTGTGTAATGAGGTGTGTCTAAAACTAGGGCTATTGAGAAAGAATATAAGGACTAAAGTCATTATGCAGATGAAAACAAAACACAGGAATTATAGATCTCGCAAAGAGTAAATGTTTTGTTTATATCCGTATTTTCAAAACTGATTTACTTAAAAAAGTACTTCTTTGAAATTTTTTAAAGAAAATTCATCACCTGACAGACCCATTTTAAGTGTGTTACATGTGTTCAAACTCACTTCCTAGACAATTTTAAGAAATTACCTGAAACAAGGTAAGTCAAAACTCTGTTTTGAGCACAGGAGCAACACTACTTCAAGGTCCTATCTTTTCATTTTTTTTTTTTTTTTTTTTTTAACAAGTCTAGATCTATCTCCACTTCAATATAGATAATAATAATTTTATTAAAAGACTTGAGTATTTTTATTTTTTTACATTCTCACTTCTTAGTGCATTAGTTTTCCAATAAAAGCAAGCGAATTTTAAACAAATTAAATATAATGTAACAAAACTAAACAATACATTTATTTGTCTACAATATATACAATGAAATTATTATAAACTTGCTTGGTGTTAACAGAAGATAAATTAAAAACTCACCATTTTAGCATTCTTGGCAACAAATGAGATATATACACAGCAGCATCCAAGTAGATCAATGACAAGAAATGAATTAATGATTGCCCTATAAACAAATGAAATGATGAGTAAAAAATTATTTAGTAATTTTATAGAAAATAAATTCAGGAATATTAACTTCATAAAGAAACTTTATAAATTAAATTTATAAATTATTTTTTCCGTAATTATAATTATTATAATTTTTGTTAATGCATTCATTTTATATGGTTCCTTCATTATATTATGTTTTCTGATTAATACAGTTATCAAACTATTAGCAATAGTAAAGCATTCGTAATAAATTTACTTTAATTTATTTAGGATTAATCTGTATTTTTGTTCAAAACACAATAAAACTTAGTGTATGTTGCACTAAAGAATTTTAAAACAGTTGATACAAAAGTAAAGCAAAACTTCATAGAATATCCAAAATACCTGGCAAGAGTAGAGAACTGCCTGACAGATTTTGGTCCAGCCATGAAAGCAACTTCAGCGACATCAGCGAAACCCAGGGAAGGAACTTTCATTCGTCTGCAGAGGATGTGGGAGCATTTGACCTAAAAATGGGGTTCGCGCGCATAAGTGAAATATTTTAATGTTTTTGAATTGTTAAACTAGACTTACCAGCTAGCAGATACCAGCTGCTCAGGCCTCCTTCCACTCGCAAGTCGCAAGCGATCTCTTAAACTCAACTTTGCTGTAAGCTCGCTAATTTTCATATTTTGAAAAGATAATTTTTAATTATGAGAAGGAAGATGGTGTTCAGAGCAAAAGCAAAGAGAGAAAGAGAAAAAGAGAAGAATTAAAAATAAAAATATCTAATCTAAATGAATAATTGAAAATTCAACTTAATTTATGATGTTAAAAAATACCTTTTTTTTACCTCTTGTTTACAAAAGCTATATTTTTGTTGAATCTTGGAATAGCTCTTTGAAGCAGGCTATAAAATCTACTGAATTTTTTGTCTACAAAAAGAGATTTAACAATTAAGTTGAATTATAATATTATATACAGTTGCCATAAACCTTCTTCGTGCCATGATCAAATCAATGTGAATTCAGAATGCTGATTAAATAATAATAGTGATCACAACAAATAAATAAATATTATTGTATAGAAAATAATTAGAAACAATATACAATTTAATAGTTTTTCTGTGGCCAAATCTAATTGTCAGCATGGCTATGTTCAAGAATGAAAGTTAAGATTAATTTATCAGTATAAAGTTAAAGTGATTTAATAAAGATATCTGCATACTATTGTCATATTGAATTGAGCATGCTGGCACACGTTTTTTTATAGTAGGTTATTTTTTAAACTTTTTATTGACATGCTTGTATGAATGAACACACTATGAATTTTAATCAGTCAGTGGTTATGATGAGTATGAACAACTTGGGTCAATTGCACCATAAATAGTCAAAAATAAATAATAAAATTTTAAGAAAGGCAATAACAGAAACATACTTTTTAAATTCGCTGTAATGGGAAGCAGATGTTAGAAACCAGGGTCTCTTTTGAGCTATGAAATAAGAGATTTTAGTAAAGTTAAATAATTTTATGTATATATTATTTTAAATAGACTCTTAATTAGTTTTAAAATATTTATAATACTGAATTTTGAAATATGATAAGGATTATAAAAACAAACATAAAAATTATGTATAATTTTATTTTTTCGATTCTTTACGAAGTATTGAGTGAAATGAATATTTTTTTTTTATGAAAAGAAAACTTTGAAAATATATTAGTTTAGTGAGTTTGTATGGTGTAAATACCAATGAGAGGAAATATCAGCAACATTTTGATTAGGGAATACTATCTCAATAAATTGTAGCATTGTCTTCTTTCAAACCCTATTTAATCAGAGTATCATTTAATTAATTTTATTATCTGTTTTTTTTTTTTTTTTTGTTGCTTATTAACAGAACTAAAATATTAAATGATAAGGGGATTTGCTAAATCTTACAAACATTTTTTAAAATATTGAAGCATTATGCAACCGAATGGCACCTCAATTTTTTTATTAAAGAATTTTATAGCCGCTAAATTATTTGAACATATTTTATTAATAAAAACCAACTATTGCTGAACTATTGCTGAAGAAAACAAGTTAGTCTTTTTTCCTTAAATAAAAATTTTATCATGCAATTAATTTAACTAATAATTTTTTTAACAAAGTTATGAAACTAATAAAAAATACAAAGTTTGTTTCTGTAAGCCTTTCTAAACACTACCATCTTGTTATTTAACTATAACTTTAAATATTCTGTTTGTATTACAACTAATACAAAAATAAAAATTGATTACTGAAATATTTTGTGTGAATTATATGAATTTGTTTTATAAGTATATAAAAACAAATTAATTTGCAAGGAATATATACATGTAATTTTTCAAAAATTTGAAACCTGTCATCCATTTTAACCAATATGAGAAAACATTAAAATCAAAACATATTGATTGCTCTAAAATTTAACACATAACTCATTATGGCATACAGGTATTGTTTGATCAACAAAAGGGAAAGAGATTTTGAGATAACATAGAAGAGGAAGGGATTGAAAGAAAACAGATTTTTTTTTTAATATTGGGAATTTAAAATTTACAATAACGACAGGAACAACCGGATCTGCAATAAAAAATCAAAAAATTAATCATTAAATTTACAATTAAAAAATGAAGTAAATATTGGTAAATAAAAAATATATAAACTCGTTGCGAAGCTGACTTTTCAATTTTCAGCAACTCCTGTTCGCAATATCTTGAAGAGTATTTCCCTGAAGAGTTTTTTCTACTGTGAACTTAAGTAATTAAAAACAAATAAAGCATGATTTACATTTCATTTTATATGTAAAAATACACAGTGATTCTTGTAAATTTAATTATTTTTTTTTATGAATAGTCAACTATTAATGAATAAAATCATACTTACAGGTGTGAAGTTATGATTTACAGCAGTATGGAAAAAACATTTAACTTTTCTATCATCAAAAATAAATTCACATAAATGTCGCGTGTAAAAGAAGTAAAAAGAAAATAGATTAATGAATTTATTGTTTTCATTAATTGAGTAAGGTCTTATACAATGTAATTTACATATTGAGGAAAATAAATATGGCAGAAAATTAAAAATCCATTATCCGTTAAACATCTGATGTTAGATATTGGAGAAAAATAGTGCAATAGGTTGCCTGATAATAAAAATCTTGTTCATCACCATGATTGAAATCATATTATAATAGAGAGAAATAATCTGAAACTCACTAGCTGGTCGGCCTTCCTTTTCCCCTGGTGACCTAAGTATGTAATATGTACTGATGTACATATACACATCTTATAAGCTTGCAGGAAAAGGAAGCATTGCAGAGTTTTGGATGATAACATGCCACAACAACCTTAAGACTCTTTTTGTCAAGGACACTGCAATTTATGCAATTCGGAAACACATATAGAAGCAGCACATATAAGTGTATGCTCACATCACAGATATCATGCCATCCAAATCGGAATGGTACTGGGCTACAGGATCTCTAATGACAGAAGCCGATAAAGAAAGGCATAATAAAAAAAATTCCAAAAATGGTAACATTTTTTTTTAATATGAAAGTCATAAGACTGTGCAAACAACATCCTTGGTATAAGTTTGATTTTATTGAAAAATAGTAGTATAATTCAAATCAGAAAAGTCTTAAATAAACTTTGAAACACTGTGTATATATTACATCTTAAGTAAATGTTTAAATAATTCCTATAGGTGCAACTGTCCCTGGCAGTGTGTGTATTTAAATACATATTAGTATTTTCATGTCTTTGAGGATGTTAAAATGGTAAACCTTCAACTTTTACATTTATTAAACTAAAATTCATTTAAATTCTTAATAACTTTGTCCAAGAATTTTAAGTTTTGAGAAATAGTATTTAGAATCTTTAATGAAGCCAAACAAAATTAGATAGCAATTGTTTTGTCACTAAAAGAAATAAGCATTTAATGCATCTGAAGGTATACAAAAAATGAGACATTAGGTGAAAATTCAATGGAGGTCAATAAATGTAAACTTTTTGTAAACATTTTTCCATAACACGCATCATTTATTAACTGTCCAAGTCATCACCTAATTATTACATTTTGCTGAGAAGCTTTCTGTAGCCTGATTTATTATTTGAGTTTTATTAATATCCATTAAAAAAACAATCAATTTTTTCCTGATTAGCATTAGCAAACATTGTAGATTAAGTCCTTTAATGGGTTAATAGACACAAGCTTTTATTGTGGATGGACAGTTAATATATCCAATGGCAGTGGGTTAATATGAATGGTGAAGAAACAATATTGGTAATGAAGGTAGACCATCTACTGACTCCTTATTTGAAGAAAGATAAGCATATCCTTAGCAGCGGCAATTATATTTGCAGATCTTGTTTTCTTTTCATCAAAGAGGACCCACAAACATTTTTCTATTTAAATCCTATTAATATTTAAATTTTAGCCATATTACCTATGTTGATCTATTTCCAGATACAAACATATATGCTTTATATTTAAAAAAAAAAATTAAAATGCTTTATCATTTCATAATCATGCTAATATAAAAATTTGTAAGTTTTAAAGGAAAAATTATTATTTAAAAGTTGATAATGCTCAATCAAGGAATTTCCATTCGTCTATGCAAACCAAGAGAGAAACTTAATAAAAACAATGGCACTCATCTTTTGTAAAGGAGTCAGAAGATGGTTTATAACAATTTCTTAAAAATCAGGGTGCTTACCAAAATATGGATACAGTATGTGCAGATTAAACCGATGATGCAGGTAGCAATCAGACCAAAGAAGAGCCCAGAGTTTTTGAATGCCAAGGGCATAGCAAGTATTCCAGTACCCAAGCTTCCCTTCAAAAGATGGATTAAGGTCTCTGCATCTCTGCAATTAAATCATAACTAATTAAAAACCTTTTAAAGAAAGAGCTAAGAAAAAACAACAAAAAAACTAAGGAGATTCAAATAATCTATCTTTATATATAACAATGTAGTATTTTAAAATGTAGATCCCTTTTCCAGCCCTTAGGAGATCTAAATTTTGATGAATGAGGTATCAAACATAGGTTATTTCATGGAGAAGTGACAAATTATAGTCACATCGTATCGAAATTACAGGAAAAAAAACTTTCTTTGTAAATAACTCAAATAGTATACATGTTTGGTTGATTGAACCCATGATTACTTTAAATATGACTAAATTCCCAACAAAATAAAAAAAAAAATCATAGCAGACGATTAGAAATCTGTATACTTGAACACATTTATACCGAGTTCAATTTTTTTTTTTTTTTTTAATGTGAAACAGATTTGAGATTTGTAGTTTGCACCTCCAAAACCACTCAAATACTTATTCTCATAGAAAAATAAAAATTTAATTGTTCTCAAATTATTAATAATAACCAGTATGAGAGTCTATTAGATATTACCTGATCTTTCTAAGACAATACACTTATTAAATTATAAAGGTTTTGAAACCAATTCAGAGTATTTTAGTTAGCAATATAAATCAGGTATAGGAACCAAAAATATAGAGTCTGAAAATATCATAATTTAGATCTATTTATCATTGAGCAGTGTGAGGTTCTTTTCTTTAGAACTGCTTCCAAATGATTATGTCCACTTTTAATTTTTTACTAATGATTCCAATGTTTTTTACCTATAAGGAATAAAATCTAAGAGTTGTTGATATAGATTGGAAAAGAAGAAAATCAGTTTTCCAATCGTTGTACTAACTTGAAATTTGGAGAAAATCTTGAGGAGTTATGAATACTTCGGTTTAATGACCAGAAAAAAAAATTCACCATGAAAATCAAGAACATAAAATTAGAATTTTTCGATTTTTATAAAAATTCGTATTAAAGAGTTTTAAAGAACACTAAACACGGATATAACTTGCTTTTCCATAACAAAAATTTATTTGGCCTACTTCATTGAAAAACGTCTTTTGTAATTTATGATCCATTTCAACTCATTTAATACTATCGGCAATACTTGTTTCTTGTACTGAACAAAAAAATTAATAAATTGGTAAATAAAAATCTACAAGTCTGGGCAAAGTAAAGGAAAAAATAAATAACACACTAGAGTTTATTATGAAAATGTAAATTCTTTTTATAGATTTCAGTCATTAATAGTTCCATTTTGATTTTTTGATGTGCAAAAAAATTAATCAAATTTTCTCTAGTTCTTTGTAATATATAGTTTTAATAATAAATGTTAAAAAATTTGTAATTTATGATGCATTATAGAGTTAATACAATTGGCAACATTTTTATCTTATTCTACAAAAAAATGGTATATAATAAATAACCTAGAAAAAAAATATTTAAAATTATAAAAAATTATTATTTCCTGGGCTCCTAAAACTCATTGGAAGGAACATTGGGACATTGGTTGAATATTTTTCGATTTCGGATCACCAAAAAACATTGGTTGAAATAGGTGACCCACTGTTGTGAGTGCATTATTTAGAGATTTTTGGGAGAGAAATGTCACTAAGTTACAAAGAGATTTAAATTAATAAAAAGTAACTTATTTAAAATTACTTTTTTTTTCAATAGACTGATGATAAGTAATATATATTTAGTAGACTAGTAATCAGAAATACTATATAAATGAATTTATCATTGAGATCTCAATAAAAATGAAGCTGATGCAATTTTTTTTTTTTTACATTTATTTAGTTTTTGTTTAATTTACAGATTAGTATTATAAAAATACTAGTTGGACCCTGCGAATAATTTACAAACAATATTGATCAGTGTAGAATTTACAATATAATGTAAAAATAAGTTAATGATATGTATTATGTGATAGAAGAAATGATTTCCTTTTTATCAGTTGAATCACATTAGTTCATTCATAATAATAAACCAAAACATGTGCACATAGAGACTGTCTTTTTTAATAATGGTCCAACTTGATGATTTTTTTTTTTTTTTTTTTGTAGGAAATTTTCTTTCGAATAATCATGGGTGTAATCAATGGAAACAAAAGAATGTATACTTTTTAATTTTTATTAGTCCAAAGCTACGAAAATTCGAATTTAAGGTTTTTTCTAAGTGTGAAATACAAAGCTCAAATCTGATTCTCCTTTAAAAAAATATATATTTGAACCCATTGTGCTACTTCAGTCCGTATAAAATTTTTCAAATTTACAAATTTCTAATCGATTTCGAAGATTTTTTTTTTTACATGGAATTTAATCTTTCAAATAATCATGAGTACTATCAACAAAAAATGTATATTTTTAAAGTTATTTACAAATTAAGTTTATTTTAATTCATAACTTTTTCCTGAGATTTCGGGAGGTGTATTACCATGATTCATAACTGCTCCATGTAATACCATTCATTTGATGCCTCATTCATGGCTCCTGAGAGCCTGAAAAGAGATCTACGCTGCGAAAAACTATCGTATTACATATAAAGATAGATAAATAACTGAAATGATTATAAATCTCAAAGCATAAAAGATCTTCAAAATTGACTCCACTTTCAGATATTTAATCAGAAAGCAAAGAACAAAATGCATTTCAGCTCTTTATATACGCGCTCTTTTTACAAATCAATCAACTAGTTTTATTTTGAGTGCTTTATATAATTAAAAATATTGAACAATAGGCAACTTACGTGGTCGGGTGCTCAAGCCTCCTGTGCTCGAAGGGGTTGTATCCTCCGGCTTCCTGGTCCGCGAGGGCAGTGCTTGATACAAGAGGCAGAGTCGAGCCATTGGTCATCGATGTCGGAACATTGTTGGAGTGACATTTGTACCTGGAAGAAGAGAGGAGAGGCGTTACCTCTTCACTGTCGTAATGTTCCCATGAGGAACTCGAACAACGATTAGAAGAAAGCGATTTGTTCATCCGGACCCTTTGTGTTAGAATGCGCTGGATGCCTGCGCACAAAAGAGATAGCGAATGGCATGTTTGCTCCAAGTGAGGGAGATTGTAACTCGCTGATAGGATATCGCTTATTGAGGTATTTCATTCTTTCCTTCGATTCTATTGTACGCCAATTCTTTGAAAGAAATGAGTCTATCTTCTACGGGAAGACTAAGCATTTTAAAATGTATATTAAGAACTAAGGAAATTGTAAAACATGGTTTGTTCGTATCATTTAGTTTTTTTGTTTATGTTCAAAACAACAAATAACATACAGATGGTTTATCTATGTGTTATTTTTATAACGAATATGGAAAAATTATTAACAGTCATATTCTTTTTAGAGATCATAATAAAATAAGAAGTTTTATTTCTTTTTTTTTTTAATTTTATTTATGAAATTTACAAATGTATACAAATAAATTTACATCTAGTAAATGTGACAGAAAAGTAAAATGGCATTAAAACATTTGTAGAGAAGCTCCGCATCGGTGGCACCCTAATAAAATTTCTAAATTAGCAGGTCACGAAGCCATCTTTTCAGACGCCTCGAAAGTTTATTAGGGATCGAAAAGGAAGTAAGGTTAAAACGAGAGGATTAGGATGGTTCTGAAATCTATTATCGAGTGATATGTATCTAGATTGGGGCAGATAGGAAACATGGGTGATTTTATTTGTAACCAAGTTATTAAGAATAATAATAAAGAATAGATAATTAAGACTTGTACGGAGAATTTTGGATCGTAAAGATGGTATACGAGAGGAATTTGATAGTTTAGAGGAGCCTTACAACTCATCGCCTTATACCCACATAAGTCTTATTGTAGTCATGTAAATGGGTCTTTTGTAAGTTGGTTATTTAGAGCGTTAGTCTGATAAGTGCTGAAGTAGCCGGAAACGTCAAGCGGTTCTTGTCGTTTCAGTCACGTAAGAGGATTCCAAGTTAGACTAGATCCTAGGTATCGTTATCCATATGAAATATATATTAAGGAAAAATATTTCGATCGTAAAAAATTGTTTATCCTTGCTTTCGACGGAAATATATATCGAATGTTCTCATAAGTCCAAATAACCAAGTCTCGCAAAATGGGGTGAGTATTTGAATAGGAACGAACTTTAACCTAGTTTGAAGGATTACTTGAACCTAGCTCAATAATGGAAATACCTAAAAACTGAAATTGATTATTTAAGATAGCTAATGTTGCAGTTGGGGATGTTAGAGCAACATATTTGTTTAAAGGAGCATCGTGGCTCATTTTATATATATATATATATATATATATATATATAAAATAAATAGTTGTATTTATTACACTCGACTAGGTTGGAAAATCAGTTGCCTAATGAGATGACAGTAATTATTATATTAATTTAAATTTTCTTGGATATGTATGAATATACAATATGACTATTTAATGTATTAAACTAATTTATTCGTTGAAAGTACATTTTATCTAGTCAAACTAAGGTGTCATTTCACATCATTAGAGATGAAATACGACAGAGAAAAAAAAAAACAGTTTCCCGTGAAACTATCACTAATCAGACTCAAATAGTTTATAATTGTTTTAGCTAGATATACATGAGAGGAAAAAATAAATAATACACAGAAGTCAGCATAATAGAAAAACCATTACATGTTGTTCGACCTTGGGTTCATTACTGATATGGAATGAACTATAAATGTAGTAAGGATGCCGCTAATTTAATATGTTGTTATAATTTAATAATAGTTATTAAATATGTTAATAATTGATTTTTTTATATATGATTAATCGACCGATCTGAAAGCTACAATTCTACTTAATAGACCATTTATGAACGAAATTTAAATTAAGATATTGTTTCAGTGTATGTTGAATTCATTTTATCTTCTATAGATTTTTTATTTCATTTCCAAAATTAAAATTTTTTCTTAGTTTTAATATATTTAAATAAATCTGGAATACAAATCAATTGTTTATTTTCCTGTTTCAAAACGATCGTTTATTGATCATATAGTCATATTTTCTATTACTGTGAAGTCTTGCAATTTATATATACCACTGATAATAGTGGTATATAAAAAATAAATAGACCACTAACTGATCAATTATGCACAAAAAATTGTCTGGAAAAGGCAAAGACACAACAATAAACCAGATTGGATGGCTCGAACAACTATTTTAAAGCATTCCAATTATTTTAGATAGCTAAGATAAGTTTCTAAAGCAGACCCTACACGATAAGTCATGAATGAAAGTCAAATGACTGACAAGGATTGCTTCAATCGTGACGAACCTTACTCATATCAATCAGACTGATGTATATCAGCTAAGTTGAAGTTGAGATAACTGGTAGAGTGGATCTGGTATACCACTAGCGGATCCAGGATTTAATTTTGGGGGGGGCTTCAGCCCGAAACCTTTTTTTTCATAAAAATAACGATAATTACTTTGGAAAAACAGAAAGAAACTAACTACCTATATGAAGTGGTGTTTAAGTTATTCCTTAAGTACTTTTAAATGTAATTACACGAACAATAATACTTTAAGAGGTATTTTTTACATTTTTTTCCCATAAAACATGGTTATATTTTTCCATTTTTTTGGGGGGAGGAGGCTTCAGCCCGAAAGCTCTCTCCTCCCTCCCCCCCCCCGTAGATCTGCCCGTGTGGTATATTGTCTATTTACAATAATGTGTTCAATTAAAAAATCTTATTTGACCATTATTCTCTAAATCATTGGACATCAAGAGAAAAATGAAGATATAATAATTGATCCCTAGTGCTTGAAAATCGTTTTGGCAAAAGTTTAAAAAATATAAGTCAACTACTTAAAAAAATTAAGGAAAAGTATAACGAAAATAATAAATTTGTTAAGAAAAATGGGAAAAAAGCTGACAAATAAATTTTCTCAAAAACGGCTCAAACGATTTTTATTAAACTCGGTGTATCATTGTATATTTAAATGGTCTTTAATATCATTTAGTTCTTATCCCCATTGATGCCACTTTACAGGGCTTCAATGCCAATTTTCATATACGTTTTCCTCTAAAGTACCTTTAATGTAGTTTAATTAAAAAAATTAACGCTTTTATTGACAGTAACTATAAACTATAACTATAAAAAATATGAAGTTTGAAAGAATGTGATAATTGGAAACTAGAGAAAAAAAGAAAATAGTTATTCCAGGTTGATAATGAATCTTTGGAAATAAACGTTAGAAATTATAGTATATCATTGGAAAAAGGAGACTTTTATAAAAAATAATATAAAATAAATAAAGTTGTAGAAGGTAACGGAGAGTGACGAAAATAATATAAATAATAATTTCAGAAAAAAAAACATTATTTAACGTAAATCACATGTTTCCAAAGAAATTAAATGAAAGTTTTTTACTAAATGTAAACTTTAAATTTTTTTTTTAAGTTTGAAAAAAAAGTAATTAAAATCCACCGAATCAAGCCAATGCCATTATTTAAAATATTATATAATTGTAATTGTGTGCAAGAAGTGAAATATAAACATTTTTCATGAATATTTTTATAACCTTAAATATATTTACCGTAGCTTAATAACTCTAGATATGATATATTTAAATAATTAGGTATCTATTGGCCGTTTATTCCAAGAAATCATTAAGTAACCTTTTAGAAAATTAAATTAGTCAATAATTTGATGAATTTTCTTTTTGTGAAATCCCAATATTATCCACTTTCAATTAATGTGACAACTTTTGACCTATCCAAGCAAGCAAGCAATGAAGATCTCGTCATTTCATTTCAGTAAACTTAACAATAGAAAATAATAGTTTAATAACTAATAGCCCTACAATCCATAATCATTTATAGGTTAAATATTCAGATATAATTTTATAATCTCTCTAGTCATATATGAGCCTTTCGGTTGACAGAAGGACATACTGTAATTTCAACATTCTTTATTATTAATTTTAGTGATGTTTCTAGTGGGAAAATGAATATCTTTATTCACAGTTCTATATTTTAATACTGCAATCATCTACTCTGAAATAAACTTACTCACTGTCTGTATAGATATAACTTTTCCAACTAGAAATATCACTAAAATAACATTGCCCAAAAATGATGAAATTGGAGTTTATCATTCTGTCAACTGAAAGATTAAGAGACTGAAGTTGTGTGTGGTTTATAAAAGCAGATGGAGTAACTAGATTTTTATTGCCTACCGTCGAAATAATAAATAGACTTTTTGTAATTTTAATGGCCTAAATGATTTAATATCAGTAAACTTTAAGCTTACGCTCCGTTGAAAATTAATTTATCAGACATTAATTTCTATTCAAAGTAGAGCGGTAAGTGAAATTTGTTTGTTGCGCGCACCAGATTTTTTAATTTATGGTCCACTTGACTGTTTAAAAAAAAAATAGTTGAAGATGGTTTGTAAAAATATAAACTAGAGATATGAAAAACAGTTTACTTTTAATGAAACTCAGGAATGTACAATAGTTATGAGGCCTAAGCAAACAAACTTATCTAGTCGTAAGGTTAGTCCCCTCACCAGTTTTATTTTAGTCTCCCCTCCACTTCTTGTTACTGAGCCATTGATTTACGGATTTTAGGAAATCCGTCAGTACCGTCTATCAGTACTTCAATTATAACAATCAATGAGAATGTCAATAGTGCCTCGAATGCCATACCGAATGACCGTGTAGGATCCACTTAAGATGATGTGATGTCTAAGATTTTATGAATAGAAACTTGGTTTTCTATCCATTCAGGTAGTTTTACACAACGGTAGATTTCTGGAACTTGAAGTGAAAAAAAAAATGTCGGTACCACTTTGATGTGTGCCCACTATTCTGAAACCATTAGCACCTGTCCTGCAAGTTCCTAAAGGCTATTGTGGCCTTCCAGGAAATCTCTACCTGT